CATTTCACCATCGACGACATTCTGGAGTAACCTTTGTATGATGTACGTGAAAGTGGTGTAGATCTACTTCATAGAGATAGGCTTTTCGACCTCGAGTATGCAGACGATATCGTCTTACCGTGAGATAGCATGCAGGCTGCCCAAATCTCACTTAATCAGTTGGCGATCAGTGTCTGTAAGTATGGTATGAGCTTTGAACCGTCTGTGTGCTTTCAGCCCCTCTTGCCTACTGTTACATTTCTATTCATTATTGTTATTAACTTTTTGTTCTGTTATCTGAGGTAGTTGATTGAATTATGAAGCTTTCTTTATCCTTCTAGACATCCCCAGCGCAAGCTCTATTATGAAGTAAGCATTCGTTCAGTTTTACTTGAGCTCCAATCAATCCTGTCAGTTATATTATGTCATTCAATTTACTCAGTTAATTTCAGTTCCTACCCGATTAACGCTTCCCACATTACTTAATCATCTAATATATACAATTCTAATGACATTTTCGGAAACATTCATTTTGTTGCTAAGTTGATTGTGCGGCTAGAGAAAAGATTGACTTCTCACTGGACGCCTATTCTTTATTATATATATTATAGGATAAACTGGTTGCATATTTTGTAGTCTTCAGAATGCTAGTAGAACATACATCTCCCAAATTTTTGTGTAGCTCGTAGTACTCTTTTATTATTTTATCTGATTGCACTGTTCAAAGGTGTTAACTTAATGCCATCCTGGTTCTCAGAAATCTGTTTTAATGCTGCAACGTAGTCATGCTTTTTGATATAGGTTGTACATTCAATTGATACAAAATGAAGTGGAAATGGTATATGCTGGCAGTATGCATTTCTCACTTTCATCAGAAAGTGAAACTGTTTGCATTTCTGTGAGTTTTGGTTTAGGCAGCTAATCATAGTGAAATTTATCTGCCTATTTGCCGTAAAGTGATACAAGTTAATCGTCAAGGATTTTTAAGCCCTAATTATCACAACTGACTAGATTACAGATTTCAACAGCAGAAAACTACACTTGCACATTTGGTTAACAGTGGATATCAGTTGAACATTTGGAAAAAGAATTTCGATCTAGTTACTGTACTACTTACTATCTAACTGTTTGCAAACCTTGTATACCTTATACATTTACTTAATATTCCTTTTTTGTTGATTAATTAACATTCTTATGTTGTTGATTTTTCTCTCTTCTTACCTTGCACTTTTGGTCGGCCAGCTAACTATTGAAGTTATTTATTTAATTCCATATTAGTTTGTTATTTAGATATATCACACAATGAGTGAAACAGTATGATTTTCTGGGTGACAATGTTTCGAACAGTTTATTGTTTATAATCATATCAATTATAATCACACGATATAAGAATAAAACTTGTGCACTGTGGTAGAGTATAATTCCATTATGAGTAAAATTTTGTTTTGATTAAGTTTCACAGTGTAATACAGTAATGTTTACTGATGACGTTTCAAGCACAATTTGTTACTGCTCATAATCATATCAAGGAACTCACACGACCTAAATGATGAAGTAAAACAGATAGAAGAGGCGTTGGTCTTAAATAAATATCCTGTAAATTTCATTAGAAAGATCGAAAAAGGCCAAACGAAAAATAAAAATAATTGTGAAACTAGTATTAATAGCATAAATAAGAGAGAAAATAAGTCATCTACAGTTATACCATATAAAAAGGGCACATCTAAGACCCTACGTAGGATTCTAAATAAAGCAGGAATTAGGGTGACCCATAAACTCACTCAGCGACAAGCTCTGTAGGTTAAAAGACCCAGTTGACCCAATTAGACAAAATAATGTAATTCACAAAAAACCCTGCAGTGTTTGTGAGGTCAGCTACATAGGTCAAACTAGTAGGTCAGTGGTAATCAGATTCTTCGGAACACAGGAATTTAGCTAAGGTGAGAATGGTTGACCCCGAGAAGATAAGTAATTTAGAAAACAGGTCAGCACTATATTACACTGCATGCATGCATTAACACACAACGACACAATAAGGTGGGTGGGTGAGGGTTAAAATTCTAAAAAGTAATCTAGGTAGGTGGAGAGAGAGGTTGACTACTGAATTCTGCCTGGTTCATCGAGTCTACACCCAACATATGCAATAGGAATGACTCATCACTCATACCTGAAATATGCAAAGTGCTACTGCCAATCAAATCAAGTGAAAAATAATGGAACTATATAAATGAAGTTAGGAAGTTGTGTGATTACCTTGATATGATTATGAGCAATAAATTTTGCTCGGAACGTCATCAGTAAACATTACTGTATAATTTAATAATTCCCATATTTTAATTGCATCTCATACTAATACTATTTCATGTATTCACACCTTTGACCTAATTCGCTCACCGGATATACTTTTTAAAAAAACCATATATATACGATTGTACAGCTTGATAATAAATTCGTTGAAGAGTCTCTTCGCTGAATATTGTGTTCTTAATTACTGTATAACACTAGACTTTATCAAAACAAAATTTTACCTATAATCACACGGCTTCAAAACTTGAGTTTTATAGTTTTCTTTGTTCTCTCCTATTTGTCGTCGTAGGGGTAGTGGGGTTTTCCAGATGTCCAGTTTGGACACGTATTGAATCATTCTTATTACATGTATTTGCAGTTGATTCGATAAACAAAGCTTCTGTTATCAATCTCTCCCTCCACCCTGTGACAGTAGATTTCAAAACTATCATCTTATCCCATCCATACTATTGAATGGTTGTGAGTTATTGCACGTTTAGTGAGTGGTATAGCAGAACTATTCTCTAGATTTCTTATCTTATTCAGATCAACTGATTTGGATTTTGCTAGGTGTTTATGCTCGGCTAGTCTAACTGCATCTGTACTACCGCCTTGACCTATGTATTTGAAGAACAAAAGTTTCATTGGAAATTATAAGTCACAAGGAGTGGATGCATCTGCGCCACTGAGAACAATTTTGGTGACATGGCTCAGTGGCGCTGATGCATCCACTCCTTGTGACTTATGATTTCCAATGAAACTGTTTTGTTCTTCGTTATTACTCTTCCTTTGTCTCACACCTCAGTTTACTGTCTCTATTATGCTTTTCTTGTACTTTCTCTTGCTTTGTGTGCTACAAGGAGGGAGTGTGGTGACTTGAACTGGTGCACATATGTGCAAAGTTCTATGTTGAAAACAGACAGACAAATGTATTTGATCTGACAATCATTGCAGATGGGGTATTATATAAACTAAATTGTTTTGTTTTAAAGGCTCCACAGGATTGATCCTTTAACCGGCAAAGCTTGTTTCTAATTGAGTTTGCGGGTTTGAGTACCAGCCACTCTTATTCCTGCCAGAATTGTTAAGAATTCTGTGTAAGGTTTCCGAGATTCCTTCTTTGTATGGAATTACTACTGATGATTTAGATTCCTTATTGTTGGTGTTGTCATTATTCTGTGCATGTTTGACATGCATGTCGTCATTAATATTATTATTATTACTATTATTATCATCACTATGAATACTATCATTATTTATTTTATTTTTATTCTTACATTTCCCTACATCCAGTAAATAACAATACTGTTGCAGTGTGTAATACGTCTAATAAACAAACTAATATAGAATTACTTACGACTACAGTGCCGAAGTTTTACACATGTATTATTTATTTAAATATGAAAATGATAGGAATGAAAGAGATGTTAATCAATATTTCTCAAAAACCAAGAGTTACAAGTACATTTAAGGAGAGAAGTCACTGATTTTTGTTCATAAAATGAAATTGGAAAGTGGCTAATAGTGACCTAAGTAAAGTTAATCGAGCTTCCAAATCACCTAGTGTCCGATCTAAGTGTACATCACAGTCCTATATGAGGTCAATGACGAGCTCGGGCAGTGCAGTGGTAACTTCCTTGACTGCAGCAATGGGTGACCCTGGCCTCAATCTCAGAAGGGACATGAGTCCCTTGATGATAACAGATCCGCCCTGGTGACAAGTGCCAGCAAGCACGAAACCTAAGGCCAAGGATTCTTGTGGATAGACTCCAGCCATCCAGCACCCGCTGGAAATGCACCGTGATCGTGAGGCACTTAGGATGGTAGCCACATTACAAACTTGATTGATAGAATTCAGTCTGCACCAAACGAAATACTGAATGCATGGCATTAGTTACTGCCTAGTGTCCAGTCAAACTACACGCCTATCTAGTCTTAAAAAATAAATGTATTATTATTATTATTACCTTGGGTTCCTGGTGGAACATAGGGCTTCAACTGCACGTCTCCACTTGCTTTTAACCTGCATCCATACTGTTTCAACTCCTGTTCACACGATCTCCTCCATGTCACCGTTGCACTGACGTCCCACTCGCCGCGTGCTTCCTTTTTGGCCTGGTTCCACTCGAGCAATGGCCTGATGCGCGCGCAATTTCACCCAGTGGCGGCCTCCTCAGCGAGTGTCCATCTCCACTTTCTCCTGCATATTTGTTGATTGGCGATTGGTTCTTGTTTTGTTTGTTCGCATAGTTTCTTGTTGGTGATTCTTTCCGGCCCGGCCATCTGATCTTCAGCATAGAGCGAAGACAGTTAGTTGTTAATTAAGGTCTGTTGGAAATATTCTTCTGATCTGTATAGAAGAACTAACTTGACGTTTGTATTGAAAATCCGAGCGAATTTTGTTGTTGATGCTGAGTGATATGTAATACATTATAAACAATGGAATAATAACTGCATCATACTTCATAGTCTGCTGTATTCGTCGGATGTTTGCAAGGTATCCTGGGTAAGATATCAATACAAAAAAAATAACTGCTTCTAGTCTGTTTTACTAAATTATGAATTAAGATATTATATTCATTATCAACGTTAAAATCTGTGACAACTTGATGATGTGCATCTAAATTGTATGGTTGATTTTTCAGGCTATCCTGTATAATTTGAACTCGAATAATCTACTACTTGGCTGGCAATTAGTGGAGTGAAGAAGGAAGACATTTCAACAGGTTGTCGATATGAATCCAGCATCGCAACGAAGACGATTTGCCCATAAGGAAAAAGTATTTTTTTTTTTACCTTAAAATTATTTCCATTTTTCAGCTGTTTCTTATCCTTACTGAATTTCAAGCTCAGTTTACATCCCCATTTCAACTTTCTGAAGCGACTAGATGGTGTGTAAGCTATTTTAAACGTAATGGGGGTAATGTTGAAGCTGTTGGTGTGTTCTTGGACTTTATCTTAAGCCTTGGCTTCATATACTCGATCGATCAGGGCATTTCCTCCCACAGATACGCGTAAGTCAATAATTTAATTTCTTCTTTTTTTTACCCTTTCAGCTTCAATAGAGAGAGAATGAATGAATTCTTTGGAAGCTGTCCACAACCAGAAAACCAAAATCCGGAAAATGGTTAGTTTTATGACTTTCTAGAAAATTTTTATCTTTAATTGCAAAATCAAAAATATGTTCTCTTATCATGATATATTCTTTCCTACTGAATTAAAATGTATTGGTCTCAAGTGCTCTTCTCCTAATCTCTGCATTTATTCATTAATTTTGTTTTCCTGAGATCTCCTTATGAAAAGGTCACCTATCGGTTTCTGTTTCTTTTGTTGTGTGGATAAAACTCCAGAGAAAAATTCTGATCATTTAGCTGGTGAACAGTCTTCAGACAATCCTGTAGATGTATCGATTCATTCTTGGCTTGAAGGTAACTGTCCTAAATCAACGTTGACCAATGCAAGGTCTCACTTATGGTTCAATGAAATCATTACACGGTAAGTTGACTCTACTGAATTGCATTCATCAAAGGATTTATAAGATATTTTGTAGCATTATATTTTTAAAGTTGTTAATATTATGTGGATGTGCGTCGGTGGTACAGCGGTTAGGACCCTCGCCGATCATGCACATGGTCCGGGGTTCGATCCCCAGCCACTAATGCACTCCTTTACCTCACTAAGCCAGAAATTAAAAAAAGCTGGTAGAGAGGGAAGGTTGGGCATGAGGCTAGCAACCCCATCCTGTAAAACTAAATACTCCTACAGAAACTTCGAGCCTCTAGCTTGAAGCCCTATGTTCCACTGGGAACGTGAAGGATTCAAAAAAATATCATGTGGATTTATAAAATGAAACAAAGCGTAGCGTATTTTCTTGTTTTTACCAAACTGTAAATCAGTACAAGTTAGCGCGGTTCAGATACAGCACGTAGGCATGACGAACAAAAAGTGGAATTAAGATAAGTGGAAAGACGTAAAGTAGATGAGCTAAGAACAATAAATATTCACCAGTCGGTTCAGCAAGAAGTCTTCACAGTGCTTTACTTATTGACACCAGTGTTATTGCATAGGATCTAATGTGTATGCGTGATGAATGTTATAATATTTTTTTTCCTTCACGTTCCCTAGTAAAACATAGGGCTTCAAGCTAGCAGCTTGAATTTTCTGTAGCAGTATTTTTTTACAAGATGGGGTTGCTGGCCCCACGCCCAACCTTTCACTTTTACCAGCATTATTTCTGTCTTAGCGAGGTAAAGGAGTGGGTCGGCCGGGGATCGAACCCTGGACCATGTGCATTGTCGGCGAGCGTCTTAACCGCTATGCCACCGACGCACAAAAGCCGCAATGTTATAATAGCATAATAAAAATGTGATTTTGTAATGTAGTTGAAGGTAAGGTATAAACGCGTTTACGCCACTACGATCTATATATGTATATTTCGTTGTATGTCACTCAGAGCCGGTAACCACAAGTCCCGGCGGTAACAGCTTAGACCTGGAATCACTGGCTCTATGGATTGATACTGTTTATTGACTTGACCATCTTTCATCTCCTAATGTAATCCTACTTCCGCTGATATAACACGTCAGTGTAACTTTAATTAGCTTAGATGATTACTCTTTCAGTTGGACATTAATTTCTATATGTAAGTGTTGGGTATATGGAATAGTAGTTTCTGAATTCTGTATTTAACACTACTAAGTGTCAAATTCTCTCGCATATGTTACTAATGAATTCCTACAATGATGTCAACCAACAGTTATCTGCATCAAAGTCTAAAAAATTTTCATTGGGATGTTTTTAGTCTAATATGCCTGTTGACGTCATACTGTTTTCAGAACATTACATATATTTCCCTATGTTGCCTCATTCATGTGTGACCGCTATATTTCATGATCATTTTTGGGAGTGTGAACATATCTGCACAACAGTGAAGGGAGAAAGCTGTGAAATCAACTCAAAGTTATTTATTACTCCCCTGGGTTCCGAGTGGGACATAGGGCTTTAACAAAACACCTCCACTTTGTTCTATTCGGTGTTGTCCTCTTCAGCTGGGTCCAAGATTGACCATAATCTCTTATCGCCTTCCCCCCCCCCCCAAACGATCTTCTCTATGTCGCCCTCGCATTGACGACCCACTCGGCACTTTCCATTGGGATTCTATTCGAGCGATGTCATTCGACGGACTCCTCAGTATGTACACGATCCATCTCCAATTTCCCCTACATACTTGTTGAACAATAGGCTCTTGGATGGTTTGTTGCCAGCCAGCTAGAGTTTCTTGTGGCCAGCTGGTCGACCATTTGATCTTCAGAAAGGCGCCAAAGAAGGTAGCTGTTGATAAAGTCTGCAGTAGGCTGCTGGAAATCCTTTTCGTGACATATCCGCCAAGTTTATGACTCATATAGAAGAACTATCTAACTTGACATTGGTGTTGGAAATCCGAGTCTTGTTCCTAATTCTGAGACGGAGTGCAGAAGAATTCGAAACCTGTTTCAGCTTTGATGAAGGCGTGTTTATCTCGCATTTCTGATTCTAGCTGACTTTGTTATCTTCATCTGTTCCGGTTGCCTGTGGTTCAAACCGTGCTTCATAGCCGGTTAATTGAAGGAATTCACTTCTGTCAATCTCGATGGTGATTGGTGCTGGTTGTTGTTGTTGTTGATGTCATTGCTGTTGGTTGATTGTCTTCATCATCTCCGTCTTCTGAATGTTCACATAGAGTCCTCTCTTCACCGGCTACTTTTCCAGCCAGTTTGTTGGCTTTCGCGTGAAAGTCTTCGAGTTTCTGTGACACTAAACATAAATCATTTGCGAAATCTAGATCTTCTAGAGATCTGGATCACAATAATATTCGGTTAACAACTAGAATCTGACGCATGTTTGCATGTGAAGGATACAAACCAGTTGGCTAAAGCACAGCATTCTATCAGTGAAAAATATGATGAGTTTTTGTTTTTATCAATACACACGTTTACCACATGATTATATTAAATCATGCATGTTTCCTTTGTAACGCAAATATTTCAGCTGGTCATATATATCACTATCAAATGTGATAACCTTTTCAGAAAACAGAGGCACAAAATAACCTCACCATATATATTTACGCCGCGTGTGACCGGCCTCAAGCAGTTGTCCCCTGTGCTCTGCGGTCACGCAACCAACTTCCACGGTGTGGGCAGCCGGGAAGTAACAATCGCCCTCACAACCCGAAACGCACGCGAAACCTCTCTACTACTCACTCATCTTTGTTTTCATCTTCATCTCTATCGTCTTGCCTTCCTTCCACTGATGCAACTCTTCGACTTGATAGCTCTCCACTTCCTCTCCACTCTGCGTCCACTAAAAACGATGGAAGCCAAAAAACAACCACCGACAGCATCTTAAAGCAGCGCCACCAATTTCATATAGGAGCTCTTAATGTTAGGACACTTTGCCAAATAGGACAACAAGCATCACTAGCCAAGACCCTGGCATCACGAGCCATTGATGTATGCTGTGTTTCAGAAACACGCATACAAGACCCAAGTGTGGTTATTCACCTAACCCCACCTGGCCAACAGGTTGAATCTGCAAAATTCACCTTGAGGGTGTCAGGAGATGCCACAGCTAGTTCACGAGGATTAGCTGGCGTAGGGATAGCTTTGAGTACTAGGGCAGAAAAGACATTGCTTGACTGGATCCCGGTAGATAGCCGAATGTGTGCTGTTCGCCTGAACGGGTCAGTAAGAATGAGGAAGGACTGCACTACTCGCCGATGCCTTTTCGTAATCTCCGCCTACGCCCCCACTGACTGCAGTTCAGATGAAACGAAGGATGAGTTCTACCAAAAGCTGTCTAGTTTGGTGAGAAAGGCTAAACGCTCAGACATAGTCGTTCTAGCTGGTGACTTTAACGCTCAAGTAGGGAAATTGTGTCAATCTGAGAAGGATGTCGGTGGCACCTATGGAGTTCCGTGCCAGCGAACCGACAACGGTGACCGTCTCCTACAGCTCTGTTGTGATAATCATTTGTTTCTTGTAAGCACTAACTTCAAACACAAGGAGAGACACTGTTTGACTTGGAGACCCCCTTCATCAAACCAACGCTGGACACAAATAGACCACATAGCAATAAGCTATCGTTGGCGTGGGTCGGTAGGAGATTGTCGCTCCTTCTGGAACACGTGTGTAGATACCGACCATGCACTGGTCCGCGCTCGGGTGTGCTTACGACTGAACGGACGTAGGAAACAGCTGGCGGTAAAACCATCACGTCCCCAGCTCGATCAGGAAACTAAATCCGTATTTGAGGAAGAACTAGCTAAACACATATCTGTGTTCGACAGCTGTGCTCACCCTGAAGAAGCTTGGAAAAATATCCAGGCAGCCATAGATACAGCTGTAAAAGCTGTGAATAAGGTAAACCCAAAGGTGAGTAAAAACCACTGGATCTCCACCGCCTCATCCGAACTGATAGATGCTAGAAGACTTATTCCGGCGAGCTCCGAATTCAATGAGGAGCGAAAGCTGCACAAAAGGAAACTTACGAAAAGTCTCCGCAAGGACCGTGAACAGTGGTGGGTGACAAAAGCCAAAGAGATGGAGAAAGCTTCGAGGATAGGCAACACCAGGCAACTCTTTAGACTCATCAGGGAAACGGGTGGGAGAAGACAAATCATTAGTGAAACAATCTCGGAAAAAAATGGCACTATAATTAGCTCCCAGGATAGACGACTGGATCGTTGGAAAGAGCATTATGAGGAGCAGTTTAATTGGCCCACAGCCACGCTCAACCTTCCGAACATCCAACACCTCCCTGAATGGGATATAGACACAGGTCCTCCATCCCTAACTGAGGTTACTAAAGCTGTCACCAATCTGAAACTAGGCAAAGCAGCGGGACCTGATGGAATGACTCCAGAGGTATTTAAGTACGGTGGAGACAGCTTACTGTCTGCATTAACTGAGGTACTAGGCAGCGTCTGGGAATCAGAAGAAGTCCCATCGGGTTGGTGTAAGTCACTGATTATCCCCATATACAAGAAGGGAGACAAGTCTTCCTGTGATAATCACAGAGGGATTAGCTTGACTAATATAGTATCTAAAGTCTTAGGCTCAATAATCATGCGTAGACTGAGTGGTGCTCGGGAAGCACAAACACGAGAGAGCCAGGCAGGCTTTAGACCAGGAAGAGGGTGTATTGATCATATCTTCACCCTCCGACAGATTCTAGAACATAGGCATTCCTACCGGCGTCCAACAGTCATTATATTTCTTGACCTAAAGGCAGCATTCGACTCTGTCGATCGAGAAGTTCTCTGGAGATGCTTGGCTGTAAAGGGAATTCCAAGAAAATATATTGCACTGATTAAGGCACTCTACTCGTACTCATACAGCCAGGTGAGGGCTTACGGCGAGCTGTCATCTGAACTGATGACGACCAGTGGTGTCCGTCAAGGATGCCCATTATCTCCTTTTCTATTCAACTTCATCATAGATGTGTTAATGGACTTAACCCTAGGTGACTTCAGCGACTCAGGGATTGACTTGCTACCGGGAATAATCTCGTTGACTTGGAATATGCAGACGATATAGTCCTTCTAGGCGAAGACGCTGACGAAATGCAGAGTCTTCTAAACACCTTGAGCCGCAATCTACGAATGTTTGGCATGCGATTCGCTCCCGCCAAATGCAAGATGATGTTACAGGACTGGACTACATCGACGCCTAGTTTAAAAATAGGAAGTGAAGTGGTAGAGCACGTTGACCGCTTCACTTATTTGGGAAGTACCATCAGCCCCAACGGGCTGATCTCTGACGAAATCTCAGCACGAATACAAGGGGCTCGTTTCGCATTTGTTAGTTTACGCCGACTCTGGCGTAGACGAGATGTTCGACTATCGACCAAAGGGCGGGTGTACTGCTCATCAGTCCGCTCCGTCCTCCTTTATGGTTGTGAGACCTGGCCACTGAGAGTGGAAGACATGAAAAGACTAGCTGTCTTTGATCATAGGTGCCTGCGTTCTATTTCCCGTGTAAAGTGGCATAATAAGGTGAGCAACATGGAGGTTAGGCGTAGAGTTCTAGGTAAACAGGGGAAATCAATCGACGAAGTCGTGAAGCTACAAAGACTGAGATGGTTAGGACATGTGTTACGTATGCCAAGCCATCGCCTCCCTCGACGAGCCATGTTAGCGGATATAGGGTCAGGCTGGAAAAAAGCTAGCGGCGGTCAAACAAAAACTTGGCATCAGTCAATGAAATCCACAACAGTTGGTCTAAGCCACGTAGGAAGGTGTAGACTTCCAGGCTGGGGTCCTCGGGACGGTAAAAATCTATGGTTGGAAACAATTGGTGACATGGCTCAAAATCGTTCTCAGTGGCGCAGATGCATCCACTCCTTGTGACTTATGATTTCCAATGAAACTGTTTTGTTCTTCTTTATTACTCCTTTGTCTCACACCTCTGCTCACTGTTTCTATTATGCTTTTCTTGTACTTTCTTCTCTTGCTTCGCGTGCTACACGGAATGTGGCGACTTGAACTTCCGCACATTTGTGCAAAGTTCTATGTCGAAAACAGACAGACAGACAGACGTCACTCTGTACATTCAAGTAGCCTTCAAGCTAGACATCAAATTATCTCGTTGGTTTTACAGTTGTTGTTTTTGTTCAAGTTTCGGAGTGATGGAAGTCGATCACTTTCAGGTAAACTGGTTGTTTAATTATCGAACTGCTTTATCCAGTTTAATTACCGGAATTTTTAACAGAATAGACAACAGCGGACTTTATGACGCCATTGCTGGAGAAGGTGTGGAAAGAGGGCAAAGTAATCGAGGATTGGAAGAAGGGATGCTTATTCAAACTACCAAAGAAAAGAGACTTAAGTCAATACAAAAACTGGCGCAGAATTATGCTCCTGTCCATCCCAAGCAAAATACTAAACCGCATCATCCTGGAGAGAATCAAACAAGCCAACCTGGATGAAAAACTTCGACCGGAACAAGCTGGATTCAGGAGAAACAAGTCATGTATTGATCAAATCGCCACACTGCGGATCACCATTGAACAAAGCTTGGAATGGCAGTCACCTCTCTATCTCAACTTCATCGACTTTGAAAAGGCCTTCGATAGCGCAGCGTCGATAGAGATGTGATTTGACACCTACTTCGCTACTACGGTGTGTCGGCAACAAGAATACACCTCATCTAACAGTTGTACGACAATGCTACATGCCAAGTAATCTACAACAGGAAACTCACGGAATCCTTGGAAGTGAAGACAGGAGTAAACAAGCTGGCTGCCGACTATCGCCAATGATTTTCCTGATTTCGGTAGACTGGATAATGCGACAGACAGTGGCGGGCAGCGAGGAAACAGGCATAAAATGGACCCTCACGAAAAACTTGGAGGATCTGGACTTCGCCGATGAAATATGTCTGATTTCCCACAAACTGGAAGATATGCAAGTGAAAAGCAACAAGTTCGCAGAAGAAGCATCCAGAGAAGATAGAACTTCAAGTGAACATGGATAAAACAGAGGTGATGGAGATTCCTGGCCAACAGCCATAACGACAGCAACAACAACAGACAACAATCAGCCAGCATAAATGGGAGGAACCTGAAAGAAACAACCTCCTTTATCTACCCACATACCTGGGAAGCATCATTTCAACAACAGGCGGACGGAACTGACGAGGATATCAAAGCAGCGAGGATCGGAAAAGCAAGACAAGCCTTCATTTTTCTCAAGTATGTGTGGAGGTCAACAGCACTCAGCATCGAAAATAAGATCCGGATTTTCAACTCCAATGTGAAGTCAGTCAGCGCTACTATACGGATCAGAGACTTGTGCTGCGCGTCATAAAGAGCACCTCAAACAAACTACAGACCTTCATCAACAGCTACATTCTCTCAATACTCAAGATCAGAAAAGATCGGTAACAAGGATGGATCTCTGGGAGCAAACCAACACAACAGGAACCGATTGGATTGGATAGGGCATTCTCTGAGGAAACAAACCATCAAGTGACATCACTAGACAAGCCATTGGTAGAGTGGAACCCGAAAGGGAAGCGGGTGGCGAGTTGGTCGTCAGTGCAAGGGTGGGTGACTTGGAGGAGGTCATGTGAAGAGGAGATGAAAGTATATGGGCAGACTTGGAGCCAGGTGAGAACTCTAACCGATAACCGAATTCAATGGAGACGCGGAGATGAAGCCGTATGTTCCTCTAGGAATTAAGGGAAATAATAATAATGTAATAATAGATCATAGTTTCCAAACCAATCGACCTACAGCCAGGCATTTTTATGATCTCATCTTAAAAGCGTAACAGTCCCCGGCTGACCATATATTCAATGCTTGGAAGGGTTTAATTGGTCTAAACGCCTATGAATTGTAATTTAAATTGTTGATGGGCGGGCTTTAGTTTAGTTGGTTTTTTCTAAGCGATTCGTTATTTCTGCTTGTCAGTTATTGTTATCTGAATTTCAAGTTACTTGTTTATTTTAACTATATGTTGTTGATATATATATATATATATATATATATATGTTTAGACGCTTACATTTCCATATGGCTTTTTACATTGTACACTTTTCTCAATATTTTAGCTTGTCTTGCTTATTGGAAACAGAGAGGGATGAATTGCTTATGCTTATAGAATCGTCAGAACTGTCAATTTCTGATTCATGCGCATCATCGTCTCCAGAAAAGACCAGCTTTCTACTAGATATGGGTAATGCAGCCTACACGAATAGTTTGGCTTCCGAAAGATGGCACAAGTACTCAAAGAATGCAACCGGTGAACTGGTTGATTTAGTTGCTGTTGCTTCTCTGGATGCCTTGTCCAAATGTAGGCGAATCAAATTGTAAAAAAATCACACTCTATTATGATTTTCTTCTCTCATATATATATATAGGGCCAGATAATATTTCTCATCGACCTGGGTTTTGTGAAAATAAGTGCTCACCAAATTCACTATTGTCTATCGCAATATCCTATTTGGAAGATTTTCAGTCATCCACTATCCCCAAGCCGACTGAATTACTGTTGGATTTCATTTTTAGTAAGTTGTTATAGTTTGTTTACCGTCTTGCCTTATGTTACAGTAATTCTCAATTTAAATGTCTAGCAAGAATGGTTGTTGTGCGTTAACATCTAAGTGCAAATTCAAGCATTACTCACTGCTGAGTTTTGTGCTTTTCACTAAACACTTGTGAATTATTGTGTATTTGTTATTTGTGTGTATTGCGACAGCGACTTAATCGCTTGGGGTTCAGGCTACTCTCTGTTTATTAGTCTGTTAGTCTTAGCTGAATCGCAAAACTCATTGGTTGGATACAGAGTGGGATTCAGTCAATGATTCGCACCTTTACTATCGATATCGCGCGACCATCTGTGGTGAGTATTTGTCCTTACACCTGACCTAATGTACCCCACTGGGTCCATTAATTCTAACTCCTGTCAATGAATTGGCAGAAATCATTGAACCATTGGGTGGGTTCCCAGTGACTTAATGGCCCAAGAGCTAACTAGCCTTGTAACCAAAAAGCGTCCTGGGTTCGAACCTCTGAGGTGGGTGCGTACTCCTGAGGAATCAGTGCCAAACTAGGGCAACCGAAATGGCTATCCAATACTCCCAGGTTTTCCAATGCTCCTCAAACCGATGTCACTTCATGATGAAACCAATGAAACCAAGACTTCTAATTACTTTTAACTTATGCCTCTTATGCTTAATGAATAAGAGAAAATGCACAATGGAGTTCTTGATACTGTAATTGGTGGTATTGTTAATTGCCAACACAGCTCCCAAGTTATTAAGATTTTCTGGTGATTGTGATAGTGTGCTGTGTGACTACCAGCTTGGAAATATCCCTTAGGATTGACAGAATTTCATACCCCTATACACTATCTCACTGTTCACTTTTATACTCATCCTAATCGAGGTATTACTGAATGATTCCAGAGGATTTTGTCCGTGGATTATTGTCATTTAAAAGCAAAAATATAGTCACTTTGTTAAAATTAAAGCTGGCAAATAAGTCGACAGACCCATTTCTTTGTGAATATATTTTTTAAAATTTTGATTAAATCCCGAGAGTTAGTTTTGCCATCTAATGTCTTCACAAATAATAAGTAAGTTGCTTACTTTTATTTTAAAAATTTTTATTCAGTAGAAAAACCCTTTAAAGTAAGTGACTGAGTGAGTGAGTGAGTGAGGGATAAAGCTAAATCCCTGGAATAAGGGTTTCCGCCTGCATCTTCTGTTGTCTTCAGCAGGCACTGTTGCCTATTAGTACACTAAGGGAAACCCTGATCCGTGTATACCAGAGGCGGTCTATTCAATCGCTCTAGACTACCGTGACTTGTGCTATAATTTGCTATAGTTAGTGGTCATTCATGTAAGTATAAAACTTGGGCACTATGGTCGCACAGTGGTTAGGACTTTCGACGACCATGCACATGGTCCGGGGTTCGAGCCCACATCGGCGCACACCAGATATCTATGGTCGGCCTGCGAAATTTGGGCTACCGATATCCACACTGAAAATTCCATACTTGTACCAAAAATACAGTGTGGAATCAAGCTGTAATCAAAAATAAAAAAAATAAACTCAATTATGGATAAGATTTTATTTTGATAAAATCACACACAGTAGTTGTTATACAGTAATATTTACTGATGACGTTTCATGTATATAAATGAAGCAAAAAGTTGTGTGAGTCACTTGATATGATTATGAGCAGTAATCAATAGTGCTGATGCGTCGGTGGCACAGTGGTTAGGACGATCACCGACCATGCACATGGTCTGGGGTTCGATTCCGGGCCACCGACGAGGCACTCCTTTACCTCGCTAAGCCAGAAATAATGTTGGTAAAGGTGAAAGGTTGGGTGTGGGGCCAGCAACCCCATCCTGTAAAATTAAACACTGCTACAGAAACTTCAAGCCACAAGCTTGAAGCCCCATCTTCCACTGGGAACGTGAAGAAAAAGTTAAAAGTTAAAGTTAATCAATAGTGGTCGAAACATGGTCGCATCAGTTAATATTACTGTATAACACACTGTGTGATTTATCAAAATAAAATCTTATCCATAATGGAGTTATACTCTACCACCACAGTGCCCAAGTTTTATACTTATACAAAAAAAATCTACTTACGTATCATTAATTCCTACTTTATTTTTGGATGAATGTGCTTTCAGGTAGTTGGTCCAATGCGGAACTTTTAGCAGCTATGAATGGTCTACTGAAGAGCTGGATTAATGCTGTGCATACACCAACCAAAAAGAGTAATTATTCACTATTTATTTCATTCACTTTGAAAATATAGTAATAAAAGATTCGAACAGTAATGAAAGAGATCGCCGAAATTTCCCACTTCCACCTTTGATGACCACACACGTTGTAGACGACAACAACAACAGCAGAAACACTCCACTCACAGGTATTCATAAGACACCGTCATCCCCCGCTATACTCAAGCCTTCGGTCAGTTATTCAAGTAAGTGAATATCACACTTATCCTTTTAGTACCTAACAGTTACAGTAGATTAAATCGACAAGTAACAGGTCATATTTTAAAATTTAATCTATGTGTTTATATGAGATCCAGTCTAGTGGGCATTATTATTATTATTTTATTATTATTTACTAACTGAACATTTCAGTTAACTTACGCGGGTTAAGTTGTCAGCTGACCGTTGCATCGTTCTGCATATATGCGCTTTGATTTCCAGGTAGTTAAAACAATTGAGAATCATGCAAAATGAGATTGTGGTTTTGCTAGTTATACAGGCTCAAATCCAAACCCCCCGGTAATATATATGTGTCTGTCTTAAAGTTATATTATTATTATTATTATATCCTTTAATTCCTAGAGGAACATACGGCTTCAGCCAAACGTCTCCATTGCGTTCGGTTTTCTGCTAGAGTTTTCACCTGGCTCCAAGTTTGCCCACATACTTTCATCTCCTCTTCACATGACCTCCTCCAAGTCACCCACCCTTGCACTGACGACCAACTCGCCACCCGCTTCCTTTTCGGGTTCCACTCTACCAATGGCTTGTCTAGTGATGTCACTTGATGGTTTGTTTCCTCAGAGTATGGTCTATTCAATCCACCTCCATTTCTTCCTGCCAATTTGTTGCACATTCGGTTCCTGTTGTGTTGGTTTGCTCCGAAATATCCATTCCTGTTGCTGATATTTTCTGGCCATCTGATCTTGAGTCAGGCGATTTCAATTTAATTTATTAGTGTTTTCCTGCATATACCCTTGAAGTTCGCTTACTCTGTAGTCTCCACTTTTTTCCCACCTCTTATATATATTTCATCGCCGTTGACTTGTTATTTTCTCTTTGTACTATTTAACAATTATTCTCTCATCATGCACGTATGACTTTGCTTCCAGTATCTTGACATTCTTTGGTTGCATTATTGACTTCTTGTTTTCCCGAGGAACTGAGTTTTCTCTTTGTGTGCTGGGGTATTTATCGTTTATTATCTGTCTGATGAATCATTTAGTCTGCAGTGTTCTTATAACTTCAATGAACTGAAATTAATCCCGTAGGCAATTTGTTATATGTGATACTGAATTAAATTAGAACCGTAGTCACTTTGTTCTGTCCGCGCCTGCCTAATATGCCCATCTGCCTGTAGTACCTTCCGATTCACTGAATTATGCAAATATCAAAAGATAAAGGCTGCTGGCCTTTGACTGTATACTGTAATCACAACAATAACACCAATAAAGTTGGCCTGATAGCCGTGAGAAATGATTGATCGCATAATTACTCACAACATGCGTGAGAGATGATGGTATGCTACTATATACGGGATCCTATCAAGCGTACATTGTACTATTATTATTACTGTCCCTTGGGCTCCAGTTGGAATGTAGAGCTTCACTAGAGCTTCGTTGTGTTCTCTCCTCCTCTCCAAACAATCGCCATGTCATCATCCATCGGACGCCGAACACAGTTTCCATTCGAGGGGCCCAGTACACGATGTCATTCTACAGTCTCCTCAGTGTGTGTCCGATCCGTCTCGATTTTCCTCCACATATCTGTTCAGCAATAGGTTGTTGATGGTTTCTTTGGAAAAAGTTTCGTGTTTCTGATTCCTTCTGACCAACCATCTGATCTTCAGTCTATGGAGTCAGTGAAGGCATCTGATGATTAAAGTCTACATCAGCCTGTTGGGAATGATTTTGGCGACGCGTTGGTCACGTTTCTGATCGGTATAGAAGACTTGTCTGATTAACTAGCTGACTGACTGATTGACTGAGTAAATATTTGTGTTGAAGAGAATGGGTATTTTGTTGTTAATCGTGTGTGTGTGTGTGTGTGTGTGTGTCTGTGACCGTGGTTGTGTCTGAGTGTATAATATTTACAAACTGATTGTAGAGTGATGGAGGTGTGTCGTGGCTTTTGGATCGTGTCCAGTGCTTTTGACACGTTCCTCTGCGTGGTATGTGTGTTTGTGTGTGTGTGTCAGCGTGTACTTGTAACGACAATTTTTGGATAATTGGGGGAAGTGACCTCTTTCAAATTTCTTCCGTTGTTAGTGATTAGTTGTTGTTGTTGTTTCTGTTTGTTGGTTATCTTCATCACCTCTGTATTATCTATGCTTATTTGAAGTCCTGCCCTTACTGGTTGCTTCTGACAGCATATTGGTTTTCACCTGCAAGTCTTCTAGTCTGTGTGACATTAAACATGCATCATCCATGCATACAATCCAGACCTTGTGTAAGCTACTTATCGGTGGTCCAGCGTATTCCCGTCTTCCTATCGCCCACAGTCTTCTGCATAATGTAGTCCACCACAACTAGGAATATCATCATTGATAATAATAGGTAGCCTTGTCTTACTCTTTCTTGTATTCACCTCAGAGGCATCTCTTGGTTTTCCGTTGTGGATCACCTGATACGTGGCATTGTTAAATAGCTGTGGTTGAATGAGGTTGATAAAGATTTGGGGTACCACACACACTCCATGGTGTTTCTGTGTCGTTTCCGAATTACTTGTCGTTCGTTGTACACCACCACCTACACTTTCTTGTCACCGCCTTGTTTTATTCACCCTGGCTGTCTGTCTGTCTATTGTCGACATATAACTTTGCACAGATATTCAGCAGTTCAAACCGCCACACTCCCTCCTTGTAGCACACACACAGAGCAATAGAAGAAAGTAGAAGAAATGCATAATAGAGACAGTAAACAGAGGTGTGAGACACAGGAAAAGTAATAACGAAGGACAATATAGTTTCATTTGAAATCATAAGTCACGGGGAGTGGATGCATCTGCGCCACCCATTGAGTACGATCACTTTGAGCCATATCACTAATTGTTTCCAGCCTCCATTGGTTTCTACCGTCACGAGGACCCCAACCACGAAGTCTACACCTTCCTAGGTGGCTGACCTAAACTAACTGTTGTGGATTTCATTGGCTGATGAAGCCACGTTTTGGTTTGAACGCCATTAGCTCTTTGCCAGCCTGACCAATCCTATGTCAGCTAACATTGCCCGTCGGTCGAGGAAGGCGATGACTAGGCATACGTAACACATGTCCTAACCATCTCTCTCAGTCGATGTAGCCTCACAGTCTCGTCGATAGATTTCCACTCCTTACCTAGCACTCGAACGAGACCTCACCTCACTATTGCTCACCTTATTATACCACTTCACACGGGAGATAGAGCACAGGCCCTATGATCATAGACAGCTAGTCACGCTTTTTCATGTCTTCCACTCTCGATGGCCAGGTCTCACAGCCATAAAGGGGGACGGAGCGATTCGGTGGGCTGAGCAGTACACCCGCCCTTTGTTCGATAGCCAGCAGGATATCACGTCTACGCCAGAGTCGGCGTAAACTTCCATATGCGAAACTAGCCCTCTGTATCCGTGCTGAGATTTCGTCAGAGATCAACCCGTTGGCACTGGCTGATGGTACTTCCCAAATAAGTGAAGTGGTCAACGTGCTCCACCAACCACTTCACTCCCAATTTCTGAACTAGGAGTCAGTGAAGTTCAGTCCACACCTGTAACATCATCTTACATTTGGAGGGAGCGGAATCGCATGTCAAACATTCGTAGATTGCGGCTCAAGGTGTTTAGAAGACTCTACATTTCGTCAGCGTCTTCGCCTAGAAGGACTATATCGTCTGCATAGCCTAAGTCAACAAAATTATTCCCTGGTAGTAAGTCAATCCCTGTGTCTCTGAAGTGAGTTAGGGTTAAGTCCATCAGTACATCTATGATGAGATTGAATAGAAATGGGGATAATGGGCATCCTTGACGGACACCACTAGTCGTCACCACTTCAGGTGACAGCTCGCCGTAAATCCTCACCTGGCTGCTTAAGTTCGAGGAAATATTGTATGCACTAGGTGTTTTATAATAATAACATCTACTTCGGCACAGAAATGCTTTTTTTGTTTTTTCAGCTTTATTTGTTTATCTCTAAAACATAGTGGATATAGCCATTCTCAATTAATGTCTTCCTCAAAAGAGTGATCTCTTCTTCTAATAACTTGGGGACTGCATATTCTACAGATTCTAGTCATCCAGTATCTAATATGTTTTTGTTTTTATTGGATGCATATTGTTTTTACGAGTTGATCATGGATTGATATCAGTCAGAGAACCATTGAAAACCAGCCACAGTTGCTGTTTCATCCTAGTTTGGGAATCATCGGTAGTACGCACCCACTGTAGATTCAAACCGAGGACCTTCCGGTTACAAGGCAAGCTAGCTCATATGCCATCCAGCCACTGGAATCCGATTCAATGGCAAGTCCATGAATTCTAACTTCTACCAATTCGTGATTTAGCGCAACCCCAACCATTGTTGTTGGTGGGACATCCATCCACACATGTGATATCTAATTGGACCTCACTGGTCACGATTTCTCACTAGAACTGACTCCAGGAAACTTCATCCTGTAGCAAGTCACTAATTGGTAGAAGTTAGAATTCATGGACTTGCCATTGAATCGGGTTCCAGTGGCTGGATGGCATACGAGCTAGCTTGCCTTGTAACCGGAAGGTCCCGGTTTGAATCTACAGTGGGTGCGTACTACCGATGATTCCCAAACTAGGATGAAACAGCAACTGTGACTGGTTTTCAATGGTTCTCTGACTGATATCAATCCATGATCAACTCGTAAACACAAAAGTAATTCTTACAAACCAAACTATAGAAAATATGCATGATCTATTTCATTTTTTTTTGTTTTATTAACTTTTCTTCTTTCAGTCATTGAATATCAGCCTATCTCGCCGAGTGATCTAGTCTCTGCAACACCTCTCCATAGAATGTATCAACCTAGTCATAAATATGAAAACGTAAGATTACTTACTTCACTAATTTTTAAAAAAAAATTGTTTTATACATTATGAAGGATGCATTTAATGAGATTTCTGAGATTGTGTGACTAACTTGTTCAAAAATTGGTGCACAGTTTATTACTAGTCAACTACAAAATTCCTTCCTCTTGCACTGCATATGGCAACTATTGATTATTCATATTGTATTATTGACGTGAACTTATTGAACAATCCTCTAACTTATTTGCATGATACCCCATATATATATGTTGTTATTTTTTTGCTGTTTCTAGGGGAGTGTTCCCAAAGTTTTGTTTCAAAAAGTAAGTTTTCTGTGTGTTAGTGTGTGAGAGTTGGTCTTGTATTTCCCGTCGATTGCTTATAACATTGGACGGCAATGTGGTAGGTCTCTTTTGACATGTCAGCTCCTAGTATGGACGCTTCGACAATCTCTGGAGTCCGGGATAGCCATTTCGTCCTACACGTGGGACCCGTCAACTGGTGGTGGATGTACCCTGCATCTCCGGTAAGCGAGGGTGCCCCCCCCCCAGTGAGACTTAAACTCACCACCACCCATCGATTATGCAGTGATTTGCCAGTGAATGGGTGTTAATTGCGTTTTTTTTTGTCAAAATTGAATGACATATTACTGTCTGTAGTATTATTAGACTGCCAACATGACGACAGAGATTAGAAGTTCCCCCTCGTAATTCAATTCATCGTTAACTTGTGGTCAGTGCATTTCTCTGAATTATAAAAGAAAAGGAATATTCCCAAAGGTGTGTCATAAGAATTGCAAAAATTTAGCTAGCGAATTGTGTAATTTAGGAAGCGTTAATCGCGTCATGGTGGCAGAGCGGTCTAACGTGTCAGACCCAGGAATAATCTTCTCTACACGATTAACGCTTTCTACATGACAATTTACTATTAGATAGTTGGAGGCAATCGGCAAGAAGCCTTGGACCTAGGTTTCGTGCTTGTTGCCACTCACCAGTCAGTCAGAAAGGCCTATCTGCAATCTTGAAGGAACTCATGTCCCTTCTGAGATTTGAACCCGCGTCACCCAATGAATGCTGTAGTCAGAGACGTTACCACTGAGGTAGCTATTCGGGCTCGCAGTTGACCTCCTGTAGGACTGTATTGGATATTTTTGATGGCATACTAGTCAGTAACTAGTGTTATGTGTCTAGTCCTATCTTCACTGCAGACTGAATTCTATCAGTCAAGCTTGCAATGTGGCCACCATGCTAGGTGGCTCGCCATTACGGTGCACTATGGATTGTTGGTATTAGATGGTTGGAGGAAATTGGCAGGAAGCTTTGTATCGATTGCCTGTAATAAACAGTATTAAATTGTGTTCGAAACATCGTCATTCAGTAGGTAATACTGTTTCACTGTGTGATATCTCATAAACAAACTAATATGGAATTACAGTTTACCATATATATATATACTTCCTGTGCCAAACATGTCTCAGTTCCTAGTACATTTCACTGTGTATGTAACGACTTTTGAGCTGTGAAACATTCCACCAATAATTCAAAAGGATGCAAGTGAAACTAAGCAGAGAAAGCCATTTCGATACATGTCAACTTTCTGTTGTGGGTCTAGCGACAGTTCTGAAGTTTAAAGTCTAAACGTGCTAGGATTCTTACCTTATTATATATTCTTGGATTTTATGGTTAGTTAACTGTCGATTAAAGGTTTGCTTTTCTCATTCGCTTTTACCAATGTTTGTTTTGGATTCTTTAACACTCTTCTTTTTGTTTAATCTAAGGCTATTTGGCTAATCTATTCTTTCTTTCCTTATTGGTGAGATAAGGCGCTATTATAAATATATTATTAAAACTTATAGATAAAGAGTCGAGTATCATATCAAAGTCAGAAACTGACCAGAAGAAGCAGTGAATATCAGCCATCTTTGCTGTAAGTTACTATACACTTTCCTGTTGTTCTTGTTGTTGTTGTTGTTGTTGTTTAATTTTTTTGATCTAGTGTTCAAAGAATTTTAATGCTTCAAGTCAATAAGCCTGTGTATGTTTGGCATTCATTTCACCTCTACCATAAGTCAGATGTGATGGGGATTAAAATGGTGGAATGCGTCGACCACCTCTATTGGTTTAAGGAATCTCATCAGCCTTTCATGGACTGATTGCTGGCGAAATCTTAGCATGGACACAAAAGACACTTGCCGACTTACTCTACTTTCTGCACAGGTGTCATATCCAGCTAATCCACCAAAAGGTATATTCTACTCTTGAGGCGATCATTCTACCGGCTGTGCCACCGACAGCTTAAACGTTGTAGGCTGATGTAGTCTGTCTTTTAAGGAGGGTATCCAAGCGTACTGGGAATCTATGATTGTAAATTGTTGGTGAAATGATTCACACTGTCTGAGATATATTCGTTCGTAATCGTTCTTCACCTGTGCACAATTTTACATTGATAAGTCAGCCTATCAGTCACAATGTGGTATACCGCTTTGCCTGCTACACCTAAACTCTCTGCCTTGGGATCGATACGGCAATAATTGTGAAGTATCATGAGTTTTTCTGAATCCTCTACTATAATGACCATGTTATACAACTGTATACCTGAACAGAACACACTAATACACAAAGCACACCCAACATGTAACCAGTCATTTAGACAGAAATTCCCACATGCTTATCGGAAAGCGAACAGCGACACTTTTGGTTTCAAATCATCATTATGGTTAATTGTAGTGATAATAATAGTAGTAATAATAATATTAATAAGGGGAACCGTTTCAAGTTAAAACTTTCGAAACTGTGATTGGGAATACAATGCAGTTATATGTGGTTCAATTTAGAAGAAAATTAAGTATCATATTCCAAATAATCCAGCCTTTCGCACTATGGAAAATCAGTTTTCCATTAATAATTATATTATTTAATTTCCAGGATAGTATCTATCTCAGTAATGTAAAACGGACTGCATCTGTACTGATCTGATTATTTCTAGATTAAGGTTTGCCTATTGCTAAATTGTTCGATCCCTTGCCGGCGCACTCCTTTACCTCACCCAGCCAGAAGTAAAGCTGGTGAAGAGAAAAGGTTGGGCATGAGGCTAGCAACCTCATCCTGTAAAACAAACACTGCTACAGAAACTTCAAGCTGCTAGCTTGAAACCCTATGTTCCACTGAGGAACGTGAAGGAGAAAAAAAGTATTGCTGAATTGTACTTTATCGTACCTTAGCAGGTCTTTCTTCCTCATGATCAATAAATCAACAAAGACCTTTGTATCACTCACACTTCCCCAAAGTACACATAAAAATAGAGAAGGGTAACCCCGTGGAACTACAGTGGACAAATAAATTCAGACTAGTGAATATCTTTGAAATTTTGAAGTTAGCAGTGAACACATTCACATCAACGGACACGAGGAATTCAAGACAAACACCTATGAACAAAAACCAGTAGTATTGTTCGATGAAGAATGCAGTGTCTCACAAGTTGTGAAATACAATCTATCTGTCTCGCTTGATGAGTGTACTTGCAACCCGACCAGTTGACTCACTTGTTTTTGCCTAATATAAGGTTTGCCACCAGTATTACGTACTGTGTTGCTTGACTAATCGTTAGTTATTCAACCAAGAGACCCATATTGAAACAGAATTAGTATTTAACATCTCAGGGAACAATTTTATTGACGCAGATTACACACGGCCTTTTTCAAGTGGCTTTTAGGTTGTAATCCGTTTGATGGTTACGGACCACCTTAAGGCAAGTCGAGATGTACAATTTTCGGGGTTGACCTTTCTCCGTTTGCAAAACATGAAGACAGAACAGCTGCTTTCAGTTGATCGTCCAAATGAAATACTTTATTGATGTGTTACCCATCCCTACTGGGCAACAGTATGACACCTAGCATTGTCCAAGTGAAACAAAACATGGTAACTGTTTTTAGACTGCGAATTTTTTCCCCTCCATATTTCTGTAGAAAACAGTCAAACTGAGCAGTATCGTCATTAAGCAGCGTGTCTTAGTGTCTTACTTCCTTTGATTCGGTGGTCACATCAACAAAACTCCATCAATTTTTATTTGAAATTTTGTTCACTAACACTAGTGAGGACAACGAGGAGTTTGAATTTCAGAAGACTCCTAAGTCCAAGAACTCTTCATTTTTGATCACTAACAAGCATGAAATCTTCTTCCTAAACATCGATATCAGTTAGATGTTTATCTGTAGGAATGCCGTCTTCCAACTCTTTTTAACGCCATACTTCATTACAAGCTATGCTACTGGTAGAATGATCGGTTATGGCACTGAGGCAGTACCAACCAATAATGATAGTAATTTATTATCCTTATGTCATTATGTTTATTATTATTATTCAGTTAGGTTCCGAACGGAACATAGAACTTCAACAGCACGTCTCCATTTAGTCCTGTTCTCTGCAGCTCTCACTCACGGAAAAGTTCTGTAGGTTAAACGACCCTGTCGGTTGACCCAATTAGACAAAATAATATAATTTACAAAATAGCCTGCAATGACTGTCAGTAAGGTCAACTAAATAGGTCAAACTAGTAAGTCAGGGGTAGTCAGATTATCAGAACATAAGAATTTAGCTAAGGTGAGAATGGTTGACCCCGAGAAGATAAGTAATTTAGAAAACAGGTCAGCACTACATTGCACTGCATGCATGCATTAACGCACAACGACACAATAGGGTGGGTGGGTGAGGGTTAAAATTCTAAAAAGTAATCTAGGTAGGTGGAGAGAGAGGTTGATTACTGAATTCTGCCTGGTTCATCGAGTCTACACCCAACATATGCACACTCATACCGGAAATATAGAAAAGACAAGCGATGAAAAATAATTGAATCATATAAATGAAGTTAGAAAGTTGTTTGAGTACCTCGATATGGTTATGAGCTGGAATAAATAAATAAACATCATCAGTAAACACTGTGAGACTTTATCAATGGAATCTTTGCAGTCCTCTTTAACCTACCCCATGATTGCCGATGAGATTTAATCTCCTCTCCGAACGATCTCCATTGTCATCATCCATCGGACGCCGAACACAGTTTCCATTCGAGGGGCCCAGTACACGATGTCATTCTACAGTCTCCTCAGTGTGTGTCCGATCCGTCTCGATTTTCCTCCACATATCTGTTCAGCAATAGGTTGTTGATGGGTTCGTTGGAAAAAGTTTCGTGTTTCTGATTCCTTCTGACCAACCATCTGATCTTCAGTCTATGGAGTCAGTGAAGGCATCTGATGATAGAGTCTACATCAGCCTGTTGGGAATGCTTTTGGCGACGCGTTGGTCACGTTTCTGATCGGTATAGAAGACTTGTCTGACTAACTAGCTGACTAACTGACTGACTGAGTAAATATTTGTGTTGAAGAGAATGGGTATTTTGTTGTTAATCGTGTGTGTGTGTGTGTGTGTGTGTCTGTGACCGTGGTTGTGTCTGAGTGTATAATATTTACAAACTGATTGTAGAGTGATGGAGGTGTGTCGTGGCTTTTGGATCGTGTTCAGGGTTATTGACATGTTCATCCGCGTGGTATTGTGTATATATATGTGTGTATTAGCGCGTAATTGTAACGATTCTTTTTGGATAATTGGGGGAAGTGACATCTTTCAAATTTCTTCCGTTGACAGTGTCAAGTAGACCGTCACATTAACAGATCCAGATCCACGTTTTGTTACATCTGCAACACTAAATACAACATAATAAAAGGCGAAAGAAATAGGGTGATGGGAATAATATTATTGCCGGCCTTACAGCTTCACAAGATAGAGGAAGAAAGATGAGGTATAAATGCATATGCGTTGAATTCCTAGTCATATCAGGAAGGCTTTGTATGCTTTTGGAAGTGTGTGGGCGATTGTTACTTTCCGGCTGTCCACACCGTGGAAGTTGATTAATTCTTCGGTTACCTGAAACAGGGAGAGGGTGGGTGTTACGTGACCGCAGAGCCCAGGGGACAACTGCTTGAGGCCGGTCACACAAGGCTTGTATGAATTGGTTTCTAAGATTGGTTCCGTATTAGTGAACTTACCGCCGGTTTCGGACCACCGTAGGGTAAGTCGGGATGTACAATTCTCGGGGTCGACCTTTTCCAACCCCCTCTCTCCGGAATAGAGAGACAGCATAGCTGGTATGCTGGTCATCTAAGGGAAACACCTCACTGCTGTTACATTCCTGTTCCCCAGCAGTACGACTTCGCCCTCAGACCCCCAGTATAGTGTAAACATCCACTCCTTGTGACTTATGATCTCCAATGAAACGGTTTTGTTCTTCGTTATTACTATTCCTTTGTCTCACACCTCTGCTCACTGTCTCTATTATGCTTTTCTTGTACTTTCTTCTCTTGCTTCGCGTGCTACACGGAGTGTGGCGACTTGAACTGGTGCACATTTGTGCAAAGTTCTATGTCGAAAACAGATAGACAGACAGTATAGTGTAAGAATGATTCTTACACTGAGCCGGTAACTGCTTTTAGTCTAATCGCTATCCTGACAACCTTTCTGGCGTGGTAGGACCTGCAGGAACATTGGCTCCAGCCAGTGTAGCTCGTTGGGTCATCGCGATGTGCAAGTCCGTCCACCACGTCAAGGTAGTAGCTATCGGTCGGGAGTCATATCACACGGAGTCTGTAAATACTCTTTTCAAGGGTAACATACATTTCAGTCAGATAACCCACATTTTCCCCGTTCAGTTCAAACCAGCAGTCAGAATTAAGTCAGTAAATATGAAATTATGTGTAGATATAAATGCCTGCATTAACTTATCTGTGATAATGGTGAAAAAAAAGTATAGACATTGAATAATATTCAGTATAGGCACCTCATAGGTCGGCTATCTTACCACAGACGACATTAACGCATCCGCGACGTTTCTGTTATAAGACTTCCAGTAAAAAGCCATCTGTCCAGTATTCTTTCGACAAAAGATTTCCCGTGACAGTAAGTGAAAACTAATTGGGTGCACATGCAACTTGTCCTGGAATCATTGTTCTTTTTCAAAGACTGTTGCTTCTTCTAGATGGATATTCTAAGAGATATTTTCTTTCTTGTTTGATTTCAACTTTTTATTGAATGGATTAAAATTACGTATTTAACTATAAGAAACCAGCTTTTCACATTTACACTTTCTATCATCGATTTTGCTTTTTATTTTAGTACTCCGCATTCTTCAGGTTCAAACCACAAGGTAGGCGCTTATGTACATCGGCGGCACTCAAATTTCCGGTCATTGAACCTAAAAAACCTGTCGGGCAATCGATCGTCTACACAATACACTTGGCCGGTTATGGGGTGTTATGATTTAGCTGTTGCTACTCAAATGACTTTACTTTTTCTGCCTCCTATAATATTTTCCCGGTTAAAAATTGTCGTTGATCTTTTGCGTCGTGTTTTATCAAATCATGAACGACTCGCTTCTCTGATGATGAACAATTTGTCATCTAAAGATTGTGAACGTAAGTCAATAGATATTTCAATGTTGGATAGCCCATCAACTTTGGAAATAACTATGCAAGCGGTAAGTTTCATACGTGTTTGGATTTCAATTTTTCATCCTCATTATCTGTTGTGTGTGTGTGTGTTTTTGAAACCATATTTTAAGGTAGAAATTTTATGTTAATGTATACAAACATTCATATACACACATTCTTTCATCAAAAGGCCAAGCTGAGTCAAGGGATATTGGATATAAAACTTTGCAACTGCAGGAAAAATGGTCTGCTAATCTACATAAGCGCATTTCAGTTTAGCTAATGATATTTGTATCAGTTGGACATTCATGAAGCAGTTTGTTTTGGTAGATAGGTTAGGGTGTGCGTCGTTGGCACAGTGGTACAATGTTCGCCAACCACGCCTCACTTGGTTTGGGGTTCGATCCCCGGTCACCAACGCACTCCTTTACCTTTCTAAGCTAGTAATAAGGCTGGTAAAGAGGGAAGGTTGAGCTGGGCATGAGGCTAGCAACGCCATCCCGTAAAAATAAACATCACTGCTACTGAAACTTCAAGCGTCTAGCTTGCAGTCCTATGTTCCACTGGGAACATAAAGGAATCTAATAATAATAGATAAGTTAGGTTGACTGAATACTAGTTAGTTTGTAAATCAAAATGAACGGAACGTAGTGTAAATGATTGATATATAATCAAAGGGCAGAATAACATAAATCCATTAGAATGATCATAAAACAGGTGATAATACTAATGTTCTTTGTTGCTCATAACTATTCATTGAAATTTGGTTGATTGCCTTAAGAAATCTACTTTCAACCAATTGTTCCCGAGTCTCTGAATCATGCTCCACCAACTTTGATCTAATCAACTGCCCAGTATCTTCAGCCAATGCGTAACAAGTGTGGAATATCGAGTTACAAGCTAGAGACTTGAAGTTTCTGTAGCAGTGGTGTTTATTTTTACAGCCTCATGGCCAGCTCAACCTTTCCTCTTTACCAGCCTTATTACTAGCTTAGATAGAGAGAGAGAAGTAGAGGTAGAGGAGTGCGTCGGTGGCCGGGAATAAAACCCCGGAAGCATTCTACCGCTGTGCCACTGATGCACATAGGTAGATAAGTTCAGCTCAAAATGTATCAGCCAGTAAACTATGCCATACCCTAGTAGTGTTCTACAACAAATAGGTAAACTGATACTGAGTCATTCATTGATCACAATCCAGCTGAAATTTCCTTTAGCTCATCACAGTTAAACTATGTGTGTTGCATATGCAACTGAGGAAAGGAAATACTCGTATACCTTTTTACAGATTTTTAAATAGCAATTTCAACTTAATTAATTAATTACTTTGTCCCACTTTTCACACAATACAGTAATTGCCTTTTGCAGCCTCCTAATACCCCACCACCACCCTATATCTACTTTTGCACTACTGGTGTCGAGTACAATTGTGCATCTACTTTCTATTAAATTTACACCCCCTTCTGATTGCCTTTAAGCTTAACTCTGGCATATCTGCTTGTATGGTGATTGACATATGAGAGACGAGAATCTGTTTTATTTCTACGCATTCCTTGCAGAGAACAGTGGGGGCTTTATGCTTTAAAGTTTCAGTAGCACACACTATAGTTTAATAGGTTGGAGTAGCCTACCTCATTATTATTATTATTTCCTTTAGCTCCTAGAGGAACATACGGCTTCAGCTAAACGTCTCCATTGCGTTCGGTTTTCTGCTAGAGTTTTCACCTGGCTCCAAGTTTGCCCACATACTTTCATCTCCTCTTCACATGACCTCCTCCAAGTCACTCACCCTTGCACTGACGACCAACTCGCCACCCGCTTCCCTTTCGGGTTCCACTCTACCAATGGCTTGTCTAGTGATGTCACTTGATGATTTGTTTCCTCAGAGTATGGCCACAATCCAATCCATCTCCATTTCTTCCTGTCTATTTGTTTCACAATCGGTTCTTACTGTGTTGGTTCACTTCCAAAGATCCTTCCCTGTTGCTGATCTTTTTTGGCCTGCCATCTGATCTTGAGTATTGAGCGAATGTAGCTGTTGATGAAGGTCTGTAGGTTGTTTGAGATGCTCTTTATGACGCACAGCGCAAGTTTCTGATCCGTATGGTAAGTAGCACTTACGTCACATCGGAGTTGAACATCTGCATCTTATTATATTCATGCTGAGTGCTGTTGACCTCCACACAGACTTGAGAGTGATGAAAGCTTGTCTTGCTTTTCCTATCCTTGCTTTGATATCTTCGTCAGTTCCAGTCTTTCCAGTCTTACTACTATCGGCGAGTAAGCTAGGTGCCGAGATTTAAGGGTGCATCGGTCGGCGACTGAACTCTGCGATGCCTGCGTTTCGCGTATGCATGTGTGTGTGTGTGTGTGTATCTGAATCAAAAAGTTTTGCAGAGTCTGTAAAGTCATATAATCATCTCTATGTTAGAGTATTATTGATAAAAAACAAAGTTAACCGGAAATGATGGAAGTGTACTACCGTGTTTGCATAAAGGAATTTATTCTACACAGTAAATTTTCTCTGCATCTTCCTAGTAGGCTTTCACTGTATGTATATTCTACAAATAAATGTAGTGTAAATCTTTATAAGGTGATGCTGTACGATTACAGCCGTTATGACTCAAATTCAGAGTGGGAGCGAGAGTGAGGGAGAGGTGAAAAGGCTAGCTGTCTTTGATCATAGACATCTCCGTCCCATCTGCCATGTTAGATACTATAGTAGGGTGAGTAATATTTCAGGTTAGACGTCGAGTGTTAGGTAAGCAGAGCGAATCTACTGATGAGCTTATGATGTGCCTTTATCGATCGAGATGGTTACAACATGTATTACACATGCGCCTAGCCACCACCTTTCTCGACGGGAAATGTTAGCTTACATAAGATTGGTTTGGAAACGAAAACATGAGATCTCTAACGATTAGTTTGATGCAGCCACGTGGAGAGATGTAGACTGGATGTTTGAAGTCCTTGGATTTATGAGAAACAATGTCTGAAGACAGTTGGTAATATGGCACAAAATTGTTCTCAACAGCGTGGCAGGGGCATTCCGTCTCTGTGATTTATCATATCCAAAAAGCAGCCTATTTATCATTTTACTATGTTACTATGATTTTTCTCTCTTACATTTCTACTTATTATCGTACCTCAGAATCTCATTTTTTCCACAGTTTTTATCTTCCTTTCTGTGCGTTATGGAGTCTGACAATTTGCACTACTTCATTTCTGTGCATAGGTCTCTGTTGAAACTAGTCAGTCAGTCAGTCATTTATCTCATGGTACCTTGAAATGCATTCGACTTTTAGGCGAGGACACTGACAAAATGCAGAGTCTTCTGAACACCTTGAGCTGCTATCTATGAATGTTTGACATGCGATTCCGCTCCCTCCAAATGTAAGATGATGTTACAGGTGTGGACTGAACTTCACTGACTCCTAGTTCAGAAATTGGGAGTGAAGTGGTTGGTGGAGCACGTTGACCGCTTCACTTATTTGGGAAGTACCATCAGCCAGTGCCAACGGGTTGATCTCTGACGAAATCTCAGCACGGATACAGAGGGCTAGTTTCGCATATGGAAGTTTACGCCGACTCTGGCGTAGACGTGATATCCTGCTGGCTATCGAACAAAGGGCGGGTGTACTGCTCAGCCCACCGAATCGCTCCGTCCCCCTTTATGGCTGTGAGACCTGGCCATCGAGAGTGGAAGACATGAAAAGCGTGACTAGCTGTCTATGATCATAGGGCCTGTGCTCTATCTCCCGTGTGAAGTGGTATAATAAGGTGAGCAATAGTGAGGTGAGGTCTCGTTCGAGTGCTAGGTAAGGAGTGGAAATCTATCGACGAGACTGTGAGGCTACATCGACTGAGAGAGATGGTTAGGACATGTGTTACGTATGCCTAGTCATCGCCTTCCTCGACCGACGGGCAATGTTAGCTGACATAGGATTGGTTAGGCTGGAAAAGAGCTAATGGCGTTCAAAGCAAAACACGGCTTCACCAGCCAATGAAATCCACAACAGTTAGTTTAGGTCAGCCACCTAGGAAGGTGTAGACTTCGTGGTTGGGGTCCTCGTGACGGTAGAAACCAATGGAGGCTGGAAACAATTAGTGATATGGCTCAAAGTGATCGTACTCAATGGGTGGCGCAGATGCATCCACTCCCCGTGACTTATGATTTCAAATGAAACTATATTGTCCTTCGTTATTACTTTTCCTGTGTCTCACACCTCTGTTTACTGTCTCTATTATGCATTTCTTCTACTTTCTTCTATTGCTCTGTGTGTGTGCTACAAGGAGGGAGTGTGGCGGTTTGAACTGCTGAATATCTGTGCAAAGTTCTATGTCGAAAACAGACAGAGACAGACGACTTATTTACAGGGAAGGCAATCAATACAAGTGCATATTGTTATTCTATTTGTCTTATTTCTAACATCGATATGCTTACCTTCGTCTTTTCATCAGATTGTCAAACTGTTCGGTCCACTACTGCTACGTTTGCCAAGTGATGATTCTGATGCTGCAGACAATGATCACTCAAATTCACGTATCCGTTGGCGAGAATGTCTTCTCTATCTTCTTCTGTGTGACTCTGAAAACTTTCTGTTAACATCACCTGACACTGTTGTGTGTGATTTACGACGTGTCACTGCTAATATGGGCAGTGACGAGGTAGATGCAGAACAAGAAAATATTTCTAATATAGAAGAGGTAAGTGTGTAAATAAATATTGTTCCTCTTTTTATTAGTCGTTCTGTAGTGGTGCTCGTCATAAAACACTCAAGGTGTTTAAACCATACTACTTGTTCGTATGTACATGCACACATTAGGTCTTTGACCGTCTGTTTTATTCGCGTGTTATTGTCAAATCAAGCAGTGTGACTCAGTCAGTAACTGAAATTGACAATTTCATTTTTAAGCCAACTGTACAGTCGTATTTATATTACAGAAAAAGGTTATTAAGTGGCACTAAATAATTGCTCAGTCAATATACATATACATATGTGATAAGAATAACGATAATTAAAATGTTATAAGGCGTAGAGTTGAAGTGGATGGATTACAAAATTATTAAAGATTGTTTTATAAGTGAATTGATATCAAAAAGGTTTTAAAAATGTCAAGTGTTGTCTAAAAATTTTAAAAATTAGGAATACGATTACGATAAGAATGAGGATGTGAAGTGAAGTGGAAAGAATTCAAGTCGTAAAATAAAATAAAAACTAGAAAGAACATTATTATGACCAAGGTAAAGAAAGGGGTTTGACAAAACGCTTTTGAACACATAATTTGGGTTTCTGTTCATGCATAACTAAAGCTTCGGCTATGCATAAGTGAAGAAAACGTAAATTTCTGGATCGATTCGATTTTACCATGTAGATAATTTTTAAAGATGAATCACATGGGGCTAAATGACCAGACTCTAACAGTTGATCACAAATAGACGACTTTGCAGTTCTACGTTCGCCTTTCATTAACCAAACCGGATAGTGTTCAGCTACACATTTTCGGAGAGTACGCTTACAACGTCCAATATAATCAGCTCCACAAGAGCAGGTAAAAGAGCAAATGCACATAGATGTGGACAAAAGCGGTAATCTATACTTGACGCATTGTCTAATCATATTTCGGCTGGTAAAACGAGATGCAGGTCAGCTGCAGGAAAAGTGTGTTTAACACATTTAGATAAACAATTTTTAATCAATTCTGAAATGGTGTCACCTTTGAATACAAGACTCATAAGTAGTTTTTTCTTTGGTACTGTGACTTGTCTCGGGGCGAATTCTTTCTTGATGTTACGTTCAATAAAGAATAAACAATCTTTAATAATTTTGTAATTTACCCACTTCAACTCTACGCCTTATAACATTTTAATTATCGTTATTCTTATCACATATGTATATGTATATTGACTGAGCAATTATTTAGTGCCACTTAATAGCCTTTGTCTGTAATATAAATATGACTGTGCAGTTGGCTTGAAAATGAAGTCGTTGAAATGAAATTCCTTCGCTGAACAATAAAAACACAAAATAAACTGTGTTTGTGCTTATTTTCTTAATATCACTCTCGATGTATTTCAAGTCCAGGAGTCACATGAAGCTTCATTCAATGAAGCATGAGATAAGTAAATCTAAGGCAGACAGATTCCAGTCTCGAAAAGGAGAATTTATGTCTTCCTCTCACCTTCTCACTGTTTTCTATACGTAATCGGGTCTTTGTGTGTCACTAATTTTCTATTTTGTGTGTAACAACTTGAATTGATGCATTTCTGTGTAATGACTCATGTTGATCTGGTAGTCATTTATTTAATGGTTTTTTGTCTGATAAATTTACTCTACGGATTGTACTCATCCATAGATAGAGGCATAACAACAAACAGTTCAACAAATTCATTCACTTACCCATGTACAATCGAAATTATATATAATTATTTTTATATATGTGTGTGTGCACATTCAGCTCATTAAACTAGCATCAAAAGGTTTCAGTACACTGATGAATAATCAAATTGTAATTATAGGGGTTACGTAACATGAAAAACATTCAAGAAAACAGCATAAAGACAAGTAAAAAATAACTAATTATATAGCCGGTGAAGGTAGTCAACATAAGGTTTCGTTAAGACATATCATGTTAATAAATGTCATACGAAAACTGACAGTGAAGGTAAATTTTTAAAACAAAATATTGATTAAAGTTGAGCTTGGAATAATACCACTACCTTTCAAGGCTAAAAGAGAGTGGTTGGAGAAATTCGTAAATCAGCTTTTGCCCCCATCTGAATCGCTAAGGTCTCACTCAACAATGTATACAAAAGCATACTACCACTTTTGAGAGGCTTTTTTCCACTTTGTGTGTAACTTTGAATTAATTTTGCTCACATGTTGAATGAGGACTGGAGGAAAGGTTACCTCTTGAAACTACCAAAGAACGGTGACTTAGGACTCTGCAAGAACTGGCGAGGAATCATGCTCCTGTCGACGCCAACGCCTTCGACAGCGTTGACAACGAAGTAATTTGGAAACTACTCGAGTACTACGGCGTACCCCAAATATTCATCAACCTTATTCAACAGCTGTACGTCTGTCTGTCTGTCTGTCTGTTTTCGACATAGAACTTTGCACAAATGTGCGGAAGTTCAAGTCGCCACATTCCGTGTAGCACGCGAAGCAAGAGAAGAAAGTACAAGAAAAGCATAATAGAGACAGTGAGCAGAGGTGTGAGACAAAGGAATAGTAATAACGAAGAACAAAACAGTTTCATTGGAAATCATAAGTCACAGGGAGTAGATGCATCAGCGCCACTGAGAACGATCACTTTGAGCCATGTCACCAATTGTTTCCAACCATAGATTTTTACCGTCCCGAGGACCCCAGCCTGGAAGTCTACACCTTTCTACGTGGCTTAGACCAACTGTTGTGGATTTCATTGACTGGTGAAGCCAAGTTTTTGTTTGACCGCCACTAGCTTTTTTCCAGCCTGACCCTATATCCGCTAACATAGCTCGTCGAGGGAGGCGATGGCTTGGCATGCGTAACACATGTCCTAACCATCTCAGTCTTTGTAACTTCACGACTTCGTCGATTGATTTCCCCTGTTTACCTAGAACTCTACGCCTAACCTCCATGTTGCTCACCTTATTATGCCACTTTACACGGGAAATAGAGCGCAGGCACCTATGATCAAAGACAGCTAGTCTTTTCATGTCTTCCACTCTCAGTGGCCAGGTCTCACAGCCATAAAGGAGGACGGAGCGGACTGATGAGCAGTACACCCGCCCTTTGGTCGATAGTCGAACATCTCGTCTACGCCAGAGTCGGCGTAAACAAACAAATGCGAAACGAGCCCCTTGTATTCGTGCTGAGATTTCGTCAGAGATCAACCCGTTGGCACTGGCTGATGGTACTTCCCAAATAAGTGAAGCGGTCAACGTGCTCCACCAACCACTTCACTTCCTATTTTTAAACTAGGCGTCGATGTAGTCCAGTCTTGTAACATCATCTTGCATTTGGAGGGAGCGAATCGCATGTCAAACATTCGTAGATTGCGGCTCAAGGTGTTTAGAAGACTCTACATTTCGTCAGCGTCTTCGCCTAGAAGGACTATATCGTCTGCATAGCCTAAGTCAACAAAATTATTCCCTGGTAGTAAGTCAATCCCTGTGTCTCTGAAGTGAGTTAGGGTTAAGTCCATCAGTACATCTATGATGAGATTGAATAGAAATGGGGATAATGGGCATCCTTGACGGACACCACTGGTCGTCATCAGTTCAGATGACAGCTCGCCGTAAGCCCTCACCTGGCTGTATGAGTACGAGTAGAGTGCCTTAATCAGTGCAATATATTTTCTTGGAATTCCCTTTACAGCCAAGCATCTGCAGAGAACTTCTCGATCGACAGAGTCGAATGCTGCCTTTAGGTCAAGAAATATAATGACTGTTGGACGCCGGTAGGAATGCCTATGTTCTAGAATCTGTCGGAGGGTGAAGATATGATCAATACAGCTGTACGACAACGGAACATGTCAAGTGATCCACAACGGAAAAGTCAGTGAGGTGTTTGGAGTAAACACAGGAGTCAGACAAGGGTGCTTATTGTCACCAATGATATTCCTAATTGTGGCGGACTGGATTATGCGCCAGACAGTGGGGAACGAGAAGACAGGGATATCCTAGACCGACCTGAAGAACCTAGAAGATCTGGATTTCGCGCGTGGGTGATTTATTTTTGATGTCACACACACATAAAATTGAAGACATACAAGCAAAAACCGACAAACTGGTCGAAGAAGCAGCCAGCGAAGACAGGACCCCAGGTGAACATAGACAAGACAGAGGTTATGAAAACAACCAACTAACAACAACAATAACAGCACCAACGTCCAGCGTCAATCACCATCAACAGGAGGGATTTGAAAGAGGTTACTTCATTCACTCACTTATCTAGGGAGGGAGCATTGTCTCAACTACAGGAAGTCGGAACGGACGAGGATGTCAAATCGAGTGAGAATCGGGAAGGTGAGAAACACATTCATCAATCAATCTGAAACAACCAATCGGGAAATCTTCGCCACTCAACCAGCACCAACAACAAAATTCAGTCGAATTTTCAATACAAACGTCAAGTCAGTCAGTTCTTCTATACGGATCAGAAACTTGGCGGGTGGGTCACAAAGAATATTTCCAACAGCCTGTTTCAGACCAGACCTTTATCAACAACTGTCTTCGCTGGCTCTATACTGAAGATCAGATGGCCGGGCCGGAAAGAATAACCACCAAGAAACTATGGGAACTACAAAACAAGAACCCATCGCCCAACCAAGATGCAGGAGAAAGTGGAGATGGACACTCGCTGAGGAGGCCGGGCCGCTGGGTGACATCGCGCGCGCGTCAGGCCATTGCTCGAGTGTAACCAGGCCGAAAGGGAAGCACGCGGCGAGTGGGACGTCAGTACAAGGGTGACATGAAGGAGATCGTGTGTGTGAAGAGGAGTTGAAACAGTATGGATTAACATGGATGCAAGTGAAAAATGAAAGAGAAAATAGAAGCAAGTGAAGACGAGCAGTTGAAGCCCTATGTTCCACTGGGAACCCAAGGGAAAAATAATAATAATACATGTTGAATGACCAATGTTGAATATGTATTTGTCCAGTTATAGCGCCCCTCATTGGTCTATTGTGACCTTTCTTTAATAAAGTGGGATAATGTTCCTCGACTCTTTTAGATGAAACAGGCATCGAACGTACTATATATCTCGTTGTATATGAGTACACGTGACTAGAATTGGTAGATACACATAGAAGTGACCAAATGCATTAGTTTATGCTATTGAAAAACAGTAGGCAGCAGGATAATACCAATTTTAAGGAAGAGGCTTAGGATGTCTTTCAGGTCGTTTGATATTCTTTTCTTCAAAGTATCGGCTAGAAGATTGTTGCCGAACGCCAAATCCATCTATAACATCTTCTTCAGCACCGAGATGGGTATATCCTTTGTTGGCTTTGTGTTAATCTATTAGGTGTGGTGGGCACCCAATCCCAATTAGTGTCTTGCTCAAGAAAGTTATCTCTCTATCTACTGGCTCAGGGTTGCAGATTCCTAGTGTCTTACTCTTTGGAGATATTATCAGGTTCCGCTTACGATTTATGCGTATCCTCGTGTAAAAGTTTGTTAACTGGCCGTTCCACGTAGGCTTGTTATATACTGGTCTGTTCAATTTCCTCCCAATCTTCTTTTTATTCGAGCATCCAAAGGGGAGATTGTTTGTCGGCTTTCTACCTGGATTTTAAATTTGATGGCTAGATGGCAACTGTGCGTCGGTGGTACAGTGGTTAGGACTCTCGCTGACCCTGCACATGGTTGGAGATTCGATCCCCTGCCGACGCACACTTGATATCTATGGTCGTCCTGCAAAATTCGGGCTACCGATATCACGTGCTGCAAATTCCATAATTGTACCAAAACTACGGTGTGGAATGAAGCTGTGATCAAAAATTTAAAAAAAATTTTTAGAAACTTGTAGGACACTATTTAGGTCACGTTTTATTATCATCAACGTCCCTTTCGTGCAAAAAACACACCTGTCCATAGTCGATTTCGACGAACAGTTTCTGAAACTTTGTCATTAAAATAAAATAAAAAGTAAATATCTGCAAGTATCGAACCTTAATAGTGATCGCCTAGGTACGCTTTCTTGCTATGTCTAAACAGTACTGGGATGGACGTTGAAAGTGTACGTACTGTGATTGCACACTAGTAACTAACTAGTCATCTCTTTGGTGCAGACTGAAGTCTATCAGTCTATCAGTTTGCAATGTGGCCACCATTCTAAGTAGCTCGCCATCATGGTGCACATTGATTTGCTGATATTAGATGGTTGGTGGCAATCGGCAGTAAGCGCCTTGCTTGACCTAGATTTCGTGCTAGTTAGCACTCACCAGTCAGTCAGCAAGGCGTATCTGCACCAAAAGAAGCACTAGGCACATCATACTAGTTAGTTACTAGTGTCCAACCAAAGTATCCAATACAGTGAGTTCTACAGGAGTCCTATCGCCAGACCGAATAGCTCAATGGTGTAATGTCTTTGACTGCAGCATAACTGGGTGGTGACTCTGGCTTGAATTTCAGAAGAGATATGAGCTCCTCTTCCTTTAAGACTGAAGATATGCCTTACTGTGACTGATGAGTGGAAACTACCACGGAACCTAGGTTCAGTGCTTCAATGTGGCTGATTGCCTTCAAACATCTAAAACGTTGAAAGTCACGTTGACAGTCACAGTTGGATTATTCATAATCAGCGTATTGAAACATTTCGATGATGTAAAAAAATACTCCAAATAAATTTTTAATTTAAGTGTTGGTTTGTAAGGATTTGATCGTTACAGGACTTCATCATGAGCTGACATTAGTCAGAGAACCATTGGAAAACCTGCAGGGAGTACTGTCAGACAGCTGTTTCGTCAGCCTAGTTTGGGACTCTTCATCAGTAAGCACTCGCCGGGGTTCGAACCCAAGACCTTCTGGTTACAAGGCGAGCTCGTATTCCATTGTCTGTCTATCTGTTTTCGACATAGAACTTTACACATATGTGCGGAAGTTCAAGTCGCCACACCCTCCTTGTACCACACAAAGCAAGAGAAGAAGGTAGAAGAAATGCATAATAGAGAAAGTAAACAGAGGTGTGAGAGAAACAAACAGAAGTAACGAAGAACAATATAGTTTCATTGGAAATCATGAGTCACAAGGAGTGGATGCGTCTTCGCCAGCGATTGGTAACAATCTCTTTGAGCCATATCACCAATTGTTTTCAGTCTCCATTGGTTTTTACCGTCCCGAGGACCCCAACCAGTCAAGAAGTCTACACCTTCCTACATGCCTTAGACTAACTATTGTAGATTTCATTGACTGGTGCCACTGAGACCCGATCCAATAGCCATGAATTCTAACTTCTGCCAATTCACGACATAGCGCGACCACTAGCCAATGTCTTCATTGAGTATTTGTCCTCACACCCGACCTGCTGCACCCTACTGGTCACGACTTCCCACTGGAACCCCAGGTAACTACCTATCTGAATAGAGCCTGTCGCCAGTCAGCATCTCATTTATATTCAAGTGTTGGTTTGTAGGGATTTGGTTGTTTACAGCTTGTGAATCAGGAAGTTACAGTGAGAAGTAGTGACCAGTAGGGTGCAGCGGGTCGGGTGTGAGGACAAATACTTGCCAAAGACATTGGTTAGGGGTCGCGCTATGTCGTGAATCGGCAGAAGTTAGAATTCAAGGACCATTGGATCGGGTCCCAGTGGCTTAATGGAATATGAGCTGGCCTTGTAACCAGAAGGTCCTGGTTTCTAGCCCTGGTGGCGGGCGCGTACTGATGAAGAGTCTCAAACCAGGACGAAACAGCTGTCTGGTACTCTCAGTTTATTTTTAAATGGTTCTCTGACTAATGTCAGCTTACGATGAAGTCCTGTAACCAATCAAATCCCTACAAGCCAACACTTGTAAATTGGAATAGTTGAATGAACCTTTTCTGTATACAGAGATCTGGCTTCTCTGTTTCGATGGCTAAAAGCTTCAGCAGTACAGATGGGTCGGCTACGTAGTGATTTGGGCAGATTGCTTTTTGGCTTTTAGAGATGACTTTAAAGACGGAGGCTGTAGAGATAGGGGAGGGACAGTATCGACCACAAGATATCCAACGATTGGGCTTCTTATTCTTCCACTTCCAGCTCTTCATAACCAGGGGCGGAATAGTGTTCTTGCACCCTCTTGGAGAAAACTGAAGTTTAACGACCGATAAACACTTAGCTCCACACAAGCAATCAGGTGAATTGATAGACGTACATAGAGAAATATTGTCGACCAGGGGGTAAGAGATGCAAAAAAATGCACGAAATAAATTACTCTAAGGTTTAAAAGTTTTAAAATTAATATTCCTCTTGTTTTTCCATGTATATTGTTTTGTATTGTATGCATGCGCAAACCTTCATTGTGTTCTTGCCACATATCACTTATCCAGTTTTCATTTTCTGTTTTTATTTTTATTCAGCTCATTGAACGTCTTAATTCGAGTGCATGTATTTCTGTTGAATTACGCGGTACACGGGTTTACTCACCGTCTAAAATTGATTCTTTACCAGCCTGTATACCATCAATCAGATCACGATTGACTGTCGCCATGAATCTTAGAGACATCAGTTTACTTAATCCAGAAGACAATTCTACGCCTTCAGTGAAGTGTAGGAGTAGTAACAGCCTGGAGAATTCTCCTAGTCATGTTGATGGTGGTGTAAGTTGTCGTCGTTCTTCGGATAAGGATAACTTTGATGCTGGCAACGAGGGTGCAACACCTACGTCTGTAAGCTTTGTCTACGAACAATCACCGTGTCGTCGGGTTTTTTCTGGAAGCTGCAGCGTAGAAAATTCTCCATCGAGCTCAACGTCTAGTGTATTTTTCCAGGTATATCCTAACTATCATTATATATATTCCATTGAAAGGTATTGGGTCCCAATTATGTAATTTATTTTACCTAGTACAGTGTTGTGAATCGATGTGTGGTGGTTGTCTTATGTTAGCTGACCACAATAACAGCAACTAGTACATATCAATAATATTTTTATTTATTTATTTATATGAACGCGGAAAAAACTTGGTACCATATGGCACCAAGAAAGATACGCCACACAATGATAATAAAACAACATTGATCAAAAGTTAAAAAAATATAAGAATAGAACGGATAAAGAACTTCATCTGGAAGGAAAACAGTCATGCTTAACAAGTTCAAACACTATTCGTTAACTATCATCGGGAAGGGAAGAAAGAAGGAAATTGTAACACGTTTGCCATTGATTACGATTCTTGGCCATATCCGATAACGTTTCGAGCCATCGATTTGAGCTATCCCTCGGACCCCAACCAGGGAGTTGTGACACACCAACCGATGCTAATATAGCGCAAACATCCTTCAGCCCACGACGCCACGTCATGGACCGGCCACCTCTCCGCCTTTTCCATCCCGTTTCAGGGCTAACGAACAGAGAGCTGTACGGAAACCTCTGGGATAACTTTCGCAGCACATGTCCAAGCCACCGGAGCCGGTGTTTCCAGATGACGACACCCAATGAATGGTGATCTCCGCTGTGTTCAAACACACGCCGCCGAACCTCAGAATTACTCACGCGATAATGCCATCGAACGCAAGCAATCCTACGGAGACATCGATGATCGAACACGCAGAGTCGCCCCACATCCTCAGCCGGGGAGGTCAGATTTCAAAGGCGTAGAGCAAGACAGCCCGCACCGAAGCATTGTATATTTGACAGCCAGGCCATAGGTGGCTCAAGTTAATGTATGCCACCCTAGCCTTCATTATACGTTTGGAAATCTCATCTTTCCCCCCCCCTCCGCCAGCACTCACACAACTACCCAGATACACAAACTTATCAACAACTTCAAGCGGTTCACATTTCTTTTGCAATCTGGACAACACTGCCGGTCAGCTGAAGACGTAATGCGGAAATTCTATGTCTCTGTTTGCTTTGAAGTGTTGTTGTAGCGACTGCATTGATTCCCCGGGTTAGTGTCGCTAGCCCCTCCACCTTCTCTCATCTTCCGAGCTTTGGATCGGCCATACATTTGTATTGTTTGTTAGATTGTGATAACACATTTCTACAGATATTGCCGTTGGTTTAATGAGAGATTCAGAGCTTATAAAGTTCTCATTTCTTGATATTGCTTTGTATTTCCTCCTTTATCTTATAGAGTTCTGCGAAATTTATTCTATGTTTATTTGTTTTTATTGTATATCTTTTATCTTCTTCTACTAATACTATTCCTTTGAGTTCCGAATGGAACAAAAGGCTTCAACAACACATCTCCGCTTTGTCCTGTCTTCTTCCGTCCTCTTCATCTGGGTCTACGATTGCCCATAATCTCCTATCCCCTCCTCACCAAACGATCTCCTCTATGTCATCCTCGCACCGACGACCTACTTGTCACTTCCCATTTTGGGTCCACTCGAGAGTATGGCGCGCGGCGTCATTCAATGGTCTCCTCATTGTGTGCCTGGTCCATCTCCATTTTCTCCTACATATTTTTTGAGCGATCGGTTCTTGCTTGTTGGTTTGTTCTCAGCCAGTTTTTTGTTACTAATTCTCTCTGGTCAACCATTTGATCTTCAGGAAGGAGCCAGCGAAGGGGGCGGGCGCAAATGTTGATAAAGGTTTGCTCTATGAATGTCAGTTGTGGTAAATTACACTTCCGTTTTCACGGCAGTGGCAGTGTGTCTGTTGGTTTTCTTAATGTATAGCATGCTAGTGAAAAGATCCTACATAATTAATGAAGAAAATCAGTTGAAAAGAGCGAAACATTGTCACTGTTTCTGGATAAAAATAAACAAATTTCCTAGGTTCTTTTTTTCTCTTGATTCTCCAGATTCAATTGCGTGTACCCTTTTTCTTTGCCCAACCATTTGACGATAGGATACCAGTGTCGAGCGTGTTGCACTACTTTTCATCGTTCATGATACATGTATGATTATTATTACTGTTTCCTTTAATTCCTAGAGAAACGTAGGGCTTCAGCCGCGCGTCTCCATTGCGTTCGGTTCTCTACTAGGGTTTTCACCCCGCTCCACGTCTGCCCACATGCTTTCATCTCCTCTTCACATGACCTCCTCCAAGGTACCCTTAGTCTAACGACCAACTCTCCGCCCGCTTCCCTTTCGGGTTCCACTCGAGCAATGGCTTGTCTAGTGATGTCACTTGATGGTTTGTTTCCTCAGAGTATGGCCTATTCAATCCACCTCCATTTCTTCCTGCCTATTTGTTTCACAATCGGTTCTTACTGTGTTGGTTCACTTCCAAAGATCCTTCCCTGTTGCTGATCTTTTCTGGCCTGCCATCTGATCTTGAGTATTGAGCGAATGTAGCTGTTGATGAAGGTCTGTAGTTAGTTTGAGATGCTCTTTATGACGCGCAGCGCAAGTCTCTGATCCGTATGGTAAGTAGCACTTACTTCACATCGGAGTTGAAAATCCGGATCTTATTTTCGATGCTGAGTGCTGTTGACCTCCACACATACTTGAGAGAAATGAAAGCTCGTCTTGCTTTTCCGATCCTTGCTTTGATATCCCGTCAGTTCCGTCCGCCTGTAGTTGAAATGATGCTTCCCAGGTATGTGGGTAGATAAAGGAGGTTGTTTCTTTCAGGTTCCTCCCATTTATGCTGGCTGATTTTTGTCTATTGTTGTTGTTGCTGTTGGTGTTGTTGGCCAGGAATCTCCATCACCTCTGTTTTATCCATGTTCACTTGAAGTTCTATCTTCTCTGGATGCTTCTTCTGCGAACTTGTTGCTTTTCACTTGCATATCTTCCAGTTTGTGGGAAATCAGACATATATCATCGCTGGTGAAGCTCAAATTCTCCAGGTTTTTTGTTTGGGTCGATTTCATACATAAGTGTGAACTAATATGTATACACCTTGAACCTTTTGTTTTCCTGAATGGTGATAATGTTAATGATGATAATATTTACTTTTTTTCAGTCCGATCTTGATCCAAAACGATTGGCTTCATTAGGCAATACGGCTCATTTGATCAAGCTGCTAAATCAAATAATCAATGATCGTGATATGAACCCGCGTAGGAAAATGAAATGTCTTCAAGATGTAAGTTCACTATTACTACTCCTATGGCTTAGTAATTTCCTTTACAAACTATTTCTGACCACTTCTGTACTCATTATAGTTTGTTATGGATAATAAGGTGTGTGTCTGTACATAGTTATATATATATATATATATATGGTTAGCTTCATATAAGCTTCGTTCATAGTAAGCACTAGTTATTGTTTCATATTAACTTGTCTGTTATGTATATCCATACAGCGAAACATAATCATTTGCTGGATGACGTTCCGAATACAACAGTCGTGTCATTCCCAGCTATGCAACTTCTGGAGTCAAGTTTTGTTTTGTCATTCTTCTCCTTTGTCCCTTGTCTTATGGGTAGCAGGATTTTTGAGATTCCCGAGGCTGATGTTGTTGAATTCAGCCCATTTTGCTTCAGTTGTCAGTCTGCTGCTCCACTCAGTTACATTATGCTTTAAGACTGTGTAGCCCTGTTCCATCCTGTTTTATGTATTCGCTTTTTACAGTATAACCGCATTTAGTGCTCTATAATGGAGCAGCTCAATTTTTCTTTCTAAATTTCTCATCGTGTACTAGAGTATGCTCGTCTAAATTTCGCTTAATTTTTATGCTGTGCACTGACTAATCTAGTTAATCCTGTCCTGTTACTTTGTCCTATTTATTGGATACCTCAATTATTGCTAGTTTTTACATAAACATAGACATGAAAAGACTAGCTGTCTTTGATCATAGGTGCCTGCGCTCTATTTCCCGTGTAAAGTGGCATAATAAGGTGAGCAACATGGAGGTTAGGCGCAGAGTTCTAGGTAAACAGGGGAAATCAATCGACGAAGCCGTGAAGCTACAGAGACTGAGATGGTTAGGACATGTGTTACGTATGCCAAGCCATCGCCTCCCTCGACGAGCAATGTTAGCGGATATAGAGTCAGGCTGGAAAAAAGCTAGTGGCGGTCAAACAAAAACTTGGCTTCACCAGTCAATGAAATCCACAACAGTTGGTCTAAGCCACGTGGAAAGGTGTAGACTTCCAGGCTGGGGTCCTCGGGACGGTAAAAATCTACGGTTGGAAACAATTGGTGACATGGCTCAAAATCGTTCTCAGTGGCCGGCGCTGATGCATCTACTCCCTGTGACTTATGATTTCCAATGAAACTGTTTTGTTCTTCGTTATTACTCCTTTGTCTCACACCTCTGCTCACTGTCTCTATTATGCTTTTCTTGTACTTTCTTCTCTTGCTTCGCGTGCTACACGGAATGTGGCGACTTGAACTTCCGCACATTTGTGCAAAGTTCTATGTCGAAAACAGACAGACAGACAGAGACATAAACACTAGTGGGCTTTATAGAATCCTTTAATCCAACATAATCTGTTTCTGAGCAGGCTTTCGTAGGTTTGAATGACACTTCTATTCCTATTGTGTTAAGAATTCTACGTAAGACCTCAGATGTTCCTTCTTCGTATAGAAGCTGCGTTATTCACGTTAACCAGTGAATAATGTTGTGTTCGCTGTGTGGTATGGCCTACTGAATAAGCAAATTAATGCCAAGGTATACGTTACCACAGTGTTCAACTTTTACATATACTAGATATCTGGTTATGACTCATCTGCTGAAGTTTAAGGTGACTGGATTAGTCTGTCTGTTTTCGACATAGAACTTTGCAGCGACATGTGACTGTTCGAGTCGCTACACTTAACTCAGCACATAAAGCAAGAGAAGAAAGTAGGAGAAATGCATGATAGAGACAGTGAGCAGAGGTGTGAGACAAAGGAATAGTAATAACGAAGAACAATATAGTTTCATTTGAAATCATAAGTCACAGGGAGTGGATGCATCTGCGCCACCCATTGAGTACGATCACTTTGAGCCATGTCACCAATTGTTTCCAGCCATCATTGGTTTCTACCGTCCCGAGGACCCCAACCACGAAGTCTACACCTTCCTACGTGGCTGGCCTAAACTAACTGTTGTGGATTTCATTGGCTGGTGAAGCCGTGTTTTGGTTTGAACGTCATTAGCTCTTTGCCAGCCTAACCAATCCTATGTCAGCTAACATTGCCCGTCGGTCGAGGAAGGCGATGACTAGGCATACGTAACACATGTCCTAACCATCTCAGTCGATGCAGCTTCACAGCCCTCCTTACCTAGCACTCGAACAAGGCCTCACCTCAATATTGCTCACCCTATAATACATCACATGGGAGATAGAGCGCAGTCACCTATGATCAAAGGCAGCCAGCCTTTTCATGTCCTGTCCTCTCAGGTCTCACAGCCATAAAGGACGGGGCGGACTGATGAGCAGTACACACGCCATTTGGTCGCTAGCCAGCTGGATATCACGTCTACGCCAGAGACGGCGTAAACTGGAATATGCGAAACTAGCCCTCTGTATCTATGCTGAGATTACATAAGTAATCAACCCGTTGTCACTGGCTGATGCAACTTCCCAATAAGTGAAGCGGTCAACGTGCTCTACCACTTCACTCCCAATTTCTAAACTAGGAGTTAGTGTAGTTCAGTCCACACCTGTAACATCATCTTACATTTAGCGGGAGCGAGTTGTATGCCAAATATTCGTAGATTGCAGCTCAAGTTGTTCAGAAGACTCTGACTGGATCAGAATATCAACCTAGTCTCTAATTCCTTTTCTAATCTTATGTTGTTTATATTTCCACTCCAGTCTTCATTCTGAATCCATTAAAATAAGACAATAATAAGTCAGTCATTTCACGACTTTGCATAAAATAGACCTAAAAGTCTTCAACTAATTTACCATTATCAAGTTTTGCTTTTTTGTAGGGATTGTGTTTGATTGGTTGAAAGATTTCATCATGAGCTGACATCAGTTAGACAACCATTGGAAAACCACCTGGGGGGTAGTGGACAGCTGTTTCACCCTAATTCGGTACTCTTCATCAGTAGTACGCACTCAACGGGGTTCGAATCTAAGACCTTGTGACCAGATGGTCCTGGGAACTAGGAACTAAAGGAGATAATAATATATAATAATAATACTGCAATGATGATGACTAAGTAGACTAAACAGGTGTTTTGATAAGGTTTAGTTCTTATTGCACTACAGGTCAGATTGTGTACAGGTCAAGGTCACAAATAGGAGGCAGGAAGATGATGATCTAAGAATACAGGGTATGAAAAAAGGAAGGAAGGAAGAGGGTGAAAATATCACTAAGTAAATGAGACCTTGGTTGTAAATTAGATTACCAAAGTTGATTCATAGTGATGACAAATAATTTTTGGTTGCATGGAGGATTTAATCATGAGCTGACATCAGTTAGAGAACCACTGGAAAACCTGGGAGTACTGGACAGCTGTTTCGTCCTAGTTTGGGACTCTTCAGCAGTACACACCCACCGGGATTCGAACCGAGGACCTTCTACCGAAGAGTCCCAAACTAGGACGAAACAGCTGTCCAGTACTCCCAGGTTTTCCAGTGGTTCTCTAACTGATGTCAGCTCATGATTAAATCCTTCATGCAATCAAACAAAATCCCTACAAAGCCAATACTCGAAAATAATTTTTGTACACATAAGACGACAGGTTAGAATCTTTTTATAGTCAAGGCTTCAAAGAATGTATGTATGTGACCCAAATTTGTTTTATATATGGGTTTAAATGCATTATTGGAATCAACTTTGTGGTCCGTCTCTATAATGTGCTTCGCTGTAGATGATGTTGGACATCTACTCCGACGATCAGTTGTCTACGGTGATTTCAATTGTTGCTACAACCACTTTGGTGTGTCTTCTGTAAGTGTCTAACCTTCAGAGACAGATGGGTCCTTCCTGTGTACGTGTGTCCATATACAGTCAGTGCTCTTGGTGATTTAAAACAAGCAATTAAGGTTAATAAAGTAGGATTTAATCAATTCATCAAATTTCGGTAGAACTCGTCAGCTCCTCAGTACTCTACATACATGGATAAATTTATATACTTTTGAAATTACATTGGGAGATATAAGACTGATAAGTGAGTAAATAAACTACATTGAATTAGTCATGCAGAAAGACGACAGGTGCGCATGTTTTCCAAGTCATGTTCAAATAGATAAGGGGAGGGCGAGGGAGTATGAGAGATAAAAATTAAGATAAATTGCATTACGCTTCAATTACATCACTTAGATAAACAATCAGTCATTAGAAAATATAACAAGAATTGCAAACAGACTAATATCAATAGTAATAGTTATAATAACAATAATAATAATAGTGTTGAAGTGAGTTAAGATAGTCTTACTGATAAAGGGTAGTTTTGACTCTGTTCCCAGGTCTCTCTTGCTAAGTAAGCTTGCTGCAACACAGGCTGAAAGCTGGACAAATAAGTGCATCGGTGGCACAGTGGTTAGGACTCTCGCCGACCATGCACATGGTCCGGGGTTCGAGCCCTCGCCGACGCACACCTGATATCTATGGTTGGCCTGCGAATTTTGGGCTACCGATATCCACGCTGAAAATTCCACACTTGTACCAAAAAATACGGTGTGGAATCAAGCTGTAACCATAAAATAAAAAAATAAAATAAAAAAAATAAAAATATTTTTCTGAAAGGAAGCAGTACACCGTCTACAATGGAAAATCCTCCACTACCTCACTTACTTTAGCTGGTGTTCCTCAAGGTGCTGTTCTTTCTCCCTTTCTGTTCTCGTTTTTCTTACATGACTTGCCTCATTCTGATGTAGCCACTTTTGTTAAATATGCCGATGACCTCTCGGTTTCTATGCCTGTCAACTCTCAGTCAGATTGTTCCAAATTAAATAGCTTTCTGTCGGAAATTAGTCAGTGGTCCTCTTCAAACGGACTTAAGCTTAATCCGTCTAAATGTCAGGTAGTCAATTTCACTTTCAGACGTAAATGTGACCTACAGCAACTAGTTAGCTCACATGGCCCCACTCTCATTGACGACACAGAGGTTGAAAATACATCTTATGTTAAGTACCTTGGGCTGAGTTTTTCCACCGATCTTTCCTGGTCTTCCCACATCTTGCTAGTTACTAGAAAGATGTTTCGCTTAACGTTCTACATTAGGAAATTTAGGCAGTCTGGCATAAACCAGTCTTTACTTTCTCAGTTTGTAAATTCTTGTATTCTACCCATCCTCCTTTACTGCTCCCCATTAGTCTTTCCTGGACTACTTAAGAAAGACTTTGCTTCGCTGAGAAGGGCACTAAAAGCTGTTAGTAGGGCAAGTGGGTTATCGTTAAACCAACTGGTGAACACTATTGTAGATAGACATATTATGTCATGTAAGAAACTAGCGAATACAATATTGTCGGACCCCAAGCATCCTCTCTATACGCATCTATCTCCTTGCATTTCATCTGGAAGAACTAGAAGCAGCTACAGGAGGCTATATGCTAGGACTACCAAATACAAAAACTCCACAATACCATATCTGGCACAGCTGTTATGTGATGAGAAATCCGTTAGGTATGACACGATAAACTTACTGCGGCACTCTAACAAATAGTCCCATTAGTTTTTGTTTTCCTTTCCTCGTTACTATCACACTGTTGTTCTCATCTAGTACCACACATCAACTTTATATTTCAAATCCTGTGTTGCATTGTTTGAAATGAAATACTCTACGTTGTTTTTTTTTCTTAATTTTTAATATTTATTTATTTTATTTATTTATAACTAATTTATTTTATTTTTATTTATTTATCTTTGATTTTTAAAAATCTTATATAATTTATGAGGTAATTAGATGCAATATACTGTAATGCACGCTGAAAATTCCATACCTGTACCACAAATACTGTTTGGAATAAAGCTGTTATTATTATTATTATTATTAGTTTCAAATGAATCAAGAATAATAATAATAATAATGAGGTAGAATAATAAGTAAAACTTATTACCGTGGCAGATTCAGATTCACGACCATCTCCTTTTGTACTCATAGACCTGGTTCATAAACTCGAATTGCACAAGCCTCTGCAATTGCAAGCATCTTCATGTTTCTTCGATTACTGACAATAGTGAATGATTTGACCGCGTCGGTATCATATCTGTAGTCCACAAGATGTTTTCTTATTGTCTGTCTGTCTGTTTTCGACATAGAACTTTGCACCGATGTGCATCGGTTCAAGTAGCCACACTTCCTTCTTGTAGAACACAAAGTACCATAAGAAAGTAGAAGAAATGGATAATAGAGACAGTAAACAGAGGTGTGAGACAAAGGAGGAGTAATAACGAAGAACAAAACAGTTTCATTGGAAATCATAAGTCACAAGGAGTGGATGCATTTGGGCCACTGAGAAAGAAAGACCAGATTTGCAGTATAAAATGTGATATCATCATTCTACTTCACAGGTTCTCATCAGCTAACTACAAACCGCTAACTGATGAAATTATAATGGTTATAAATAATAACATTTCATACTTCATTGTTTGAAAGGGTAATAGAGAAAACACTAAAAGATGAACACATCTGGAATATAAGTATTAAAATTTATAGTTTAAGTTACCACCAATTTACGTACTATCAAACTATGAGAAAAGAACAAGAGGGGGGGGAGCGTGAAAGAAGACAGAAAACAGAAAAATCTAATAAACAGTGTCAACATGTCAACTCAAGAAGGTCAAAGTTCATCAAATTGAAAACTCGCTTATTGAGCTGAGCTCACTAGTGTGTATGACTAGTCAGTGTAATAAAAGTAATACGGTTACCAAGGGAGTGAAAGATTGACTACACTCTCTTTATGTGTGCATAAGTTTGGTTGGTCTGTGACGTTTGATTGCTGTACTTGCTTCAGCAAATCGTAGTAGATTCGCTCTCCTTTGTATGTTTAATATTTTGAACGATTTGGAAACCGTGACAAAATGACCTGTATCCACAAGATGTCTGGTAATTGCACTTTGTAAATACCTGCTTACTTTTAAGCATAATTTTCCCGGAATATGCTCTGAAAACCGGATAGAAGCCCTGTCTTCTTTCTGTCCTTTCAATGTACTTGCCTACGCAAGTGCACGTAGATTTATAAATGCAGTTGGAGGTAACATCATCAGCAGGGTACTTATCCAGTTTCGATTGGCTTAGAGAGCATGTAGTGCTGAATAGTGTCACCAGTTTGGCTGCAGGAAAGCATCAGTTTATTGCTCCTTTCATCTTTTTTTCAATCTTTTGCGATACGGTTTCTCCTTTGTATGGGAGGCAAATGAACACTTTCCTCTTCTCAACTGTTGGAGATTTCTCTTTCTCATCTCTTTCTTTGCTGTACTTTAGGATAAATCCTTTTGGATACCCATTTTCTTTAAGGCATTTTTCGACAAAGCTTAATTCTTCTTCTACCTTGTTAGGTGAACATAACTTCCTGGCCCTGTCGTACAGTGTACTTACTAATCGCCGCTTATAGCTTATAGAGCAGAGGCTGTTGTAATGAAGATATTGTCCAGTCCAGGTTTCTTTTCTGCAGATGGACTTTTCAACCGTTCCATCGTCTCTTCTTTTTACATTTAGGTCCAGGAAACTGAACTCATCGTTGTGTTCGTATTCCATGATGAATTTAATGTTTGGGTGGATCTCATAATGGCGGTCAAATAATACAGATGCCTGACTCATGTAGTTACAAACAATAAAGGTATCATCGACGTATCGACGGTAGTATGTTGTTTCATTGACAGCATCACTCAGCCGCGTCTGTTCGAGATAACTCACGAAGACGTCGGCTAGAATAGGTCCTAGAAGTGAACCCATGGCGTCTCCGTCAATTTGTCGGTAGAGTTGGTTGTTGAATTTGAAATGAATGTCTTTTGTGCAAAGAATTAGGGGTTGTTTCATCTCTGACTCCGGTAATGGCAATAGATCTGTTTGTTTACAAATGATATCTATTGTTTCCATCATTGGTACATTTGTAAATAAGGCAGTCACCGTCGTATGACACTATTTTTTTATTTGATATGCCAATGTGATGGACTTGTTTAGAAAATTGGAAGGTATTATCTAGGCTATGATTCGCAAATTTCTGTTGAATTGGCTTCAATGAATCAGCTATCCATTGAGCTATTTTATGGCATGGTGAGTTTATCATAGATAGTATGGGTCTTAAGGGCATATTGGCCTTATGTATTTTTGGTAGACCGTACATAAATAAGAGTCGTCCACCCTTTCACTTCAGTTCATTGTAAGTTCTGTTGTCAGCCAGTTTCTTGATGAGGAATTCTTTGAGGCATTTATTTACTTTATTTTCAAATGACGTCGTTTCATCATTCTTAGTTTCGTCCACCTGAAATTTTTCAGGATCATTAAAAATTGTCAACCTTTTATGTACATAATCAGTTTTATTCATTATAACTACTCCAGAGCCTTTGTTGGGTCTAAACAGGACGATGTCATCATTCTCACATAGTCTCCTTAGTGCCGCTCTATGCTCCTCAGTAAGTATATTTTGTTTTCCGGACGGTGATGTGTGATATTGGTTGGCTATATCAACCACTTTGGACTTTAGCCATCCTCCTTTGCCTTCTTCAACAGGTTGCAGGTCATCATAAAAGTACGAAGGAAATGGAAAATAAGATAGAGTGGGAGAGGGTTTTAATTACTGATTTCAATACTTTATCAATTCTTTTCTGACATCTGACTCCCTTTCTCTCTCTCTCTCTCTCTCTCTTAACGCAAAACCCGTGCTATAAATATGGTATTGCAGAATTGTTATATTTTGTTGTACGAGCATTTCTCATGGAATTTCTTCTGATTTTAGCCAAGGAAAAAGAGGCACAATGAGTAAGCTGAGAATGTAGGGGCTGTTTGCTATCAGACAGGATGACTTAAGCTAACTGGTTGCAAGAATTAGTAGAATATTCATTTGCAACACAACAGTGTCAGTCAGTTGAGTCAAAGGTACACTATTGGCGATGATAACAGCCTGTGCGCGTAGGTGGCACAGCGGTCAGGACTCTCGCCGACCATGCACATGGTCCGGGGTCCGGTCCCCACCGACGCACACCTGATATCTATGGTCGGCCTGCGAAATTTGGGCTACCGATATCACATGCTGAAAATTTCATATTTGTACCAAAAATACGGTGTGGAATCAAGTTGTAATCAAAATATAAAAAAATAAAGTCCTACGTCACATGACATAGTCCTTTTTGAGATGTCCAGAGAAGAATAGGAGCGAATAATGGAATTAATAAATTAGCATCTTTATGTAATAAGTCAAGCAAAAACTTTTTCTTAGAAATCATCAAGATATGAGACGACTATCAGAGATTCAAAGAGGAAAGAACTGAAGTCAAGATAGGAGTTATGTGATTTACCCTCATTTATTTTGTTGTTGTTTAATTTTTCATTTATATCCTTATTCACCCTCGTAATTATTTAATTTTATTTTTTTTTATATAATTGCCATTTAAATAGTTCCGTAAGTCGCATCCAGATGTATTTTGGTTGCGTTTCGGTAATGAACAGACAGCCTCAAACTATATATCGCGTTTACAGCGTCGTATCGACTTACAATCTCATCCAACTGTATTTGAAAGAATTACAAATGCACTACGACGTCGGCGTCAAAGTCCACTGAAACAACAGGAAAACCAACAACGAAACGGTTTTATTAGCTAATGCTGCTAATACATCTTAGTAGTAATTTTTGTTTTGTTTCTTTTTTTTTGGTTGAATGGAAAAATCCATTCCAACTTTAGATTATTCAAACTGGCATTTTTTATAAACTGATATTTATATACATTTATAATACTTTGAAAAATTACATTAAAATAAATCACTTTATTTTCCTAGCTATCTATATCTTTTCTCTTCTCTTGTCAAATGTAATTAACGGTTTCACAGAATTACAATATATGCCAGTGATGGGTATAATAATGATAATTCAATATGAACTGTAATCAAGGTGTTTGACTGAATAGTTTCAAAATATTTGGGTGCCAAGTGAAAAGTAGACATTTATATTTGTAAAATCTCAACGAAATTGTACTGAGTAATTCCAATGTTTCCTACATTCGGCAAACTGGTCGATCCGAACTTATTCAGGGAGATTAATCGAAATTAACATAACAAAGGTTTATATATAAAAGATAACATGACATCTGTTGTTTTTAAAACCGCATGCATGAACTGTGACTTTTCGACCTCGAGTATACAGACGATATCGACTTAATGTGCGATAGCATTCAGGCTGCTAAAATCGCACTTAATCAGTTGGCGATCAGTGTCTATAATTATGGTATGTACTTTGTGCCGTCTGAGTGCAAAGTACTGTTACAAGACTGGCAGGAGCCTGTACCTGCACTCACTCTTACGGGTGAACCGCTTGAAGTTGTTGATAAGTTTGTGTATCTGGGGTTAGGTGTGTGAGTGCTGGCGGGGAGTGGGGAGGTGACGGATGAGATTTCCAACCGTATAATGAAGGCTAGAGTGGCATACATCAACTTGAGCCACCTCTGGCGCCGTCGCGATGTTAGCCTGACTGTCAAAGGTGGGGTTTACAATGCTTCTGTGCGGGCTGTCTTGCTCTACGCCTGTGAAACCTGGTCTCTCCGAACTGAGGATTTGCGTCAGCTTGTTGAATCATCGCTGTCTCCGCAGGATTGCTTGCGTTTGACAGCATCATCGCGTGAGTAGTTCTGGGGTTCGGCGGCGTGTGTCAGAATACAGCGGAGATCAATATTTGTTGAGTATCGTCATCGGGAAACACCGGCTCCGGTGGCTTGGACATGTCATCCCAGAGGTTTCCTTCCAGATAAAGTTCTTTATCCGTTCTCTACTTATATTTTTACTTTTAATCTGCGTTGTTTTATTATTATTGTGTGGTGCATCTTTCTTGGTGCCATATTGTACCAGGTTTTTTCCCGCGTTTAAATAAATAAATAATAACTGTGATCAAAATTCGACCTCAAACCTACAAATATTACAATTTTGACCACAAATTGATGTCATTTAGAAGATCATAAAAGCTAGGGAGTACTGGATAGCTGTTTCAGTTGTCCTAGTTTTTGAATCATCAGCAGTAATCTGGATTTGTCATGCATCAGCTAACATCACACTTTCACGTTTGCTCAAACGGCTGGGACTCACGCATGTATGCAAAGCTTCTGCAGTCAGTCTTACTTTATACGAACCAAAACCTTTCTCCTCAGTAGAACCTTAGTCCTATCAAAGTCGGTCTTGTGTCTCCGTGTCTGTCGAATGCAGTGCAATCGCTGATCTGTTTTCTAGCCTTTTTGAGTCAGCAAAGGTGTTTGGAACCACCTTTAGACATTTTTTATGCTCTTTGACTCCTATAGTTACCTGGCTGTAAGTTCCTCCTCCTACATTTACGGCGGTTGATAAGCACAAGATGTTCAACTGCTTGAAATTAAGCTCGCTTTCTGTAAGTTGTTCGATTTATAGTCATCGACTGTTGATGATATGAAGAGCAGAGTTAAATACACTAATTTTATTGGATATAATCACACAGACATACAATTTTTGCTTATTTAACGATGACACTAATGCTGATGATCGTTACAACATGATATGATGACAAGCTACCTAACTAGATTTTCTCATTCATAACTTCAAACACTTGTAAGTGTATAAAATACAAAATAATTGAGCAAAGAATATCTTTTTCGATAAATTCCTCTTCTGGCTCTACAATTATATACATAGAATATTCTAGAATAGTAGTCAATAACAATATTAGTGTTTTCAAATAACGACAACCAATGGTTGCGCTAAATCACGAATTGCTAGAAGTTAGAATTCATGACCCATTGAATTGGGTCCCAGTGGTTGAATGGTATACTTGCTAGCTTACCATCTAACCGGAAGGTCCTGGGCTCAAACCGTGGTGGGTGCATACTGCCGATGATTCCCAAACTAGGATGAAACAGCAGCTGTCAAGTACTCCCTGGTTTTCAATTCTTCTCTAACTGATATCAATCCGTGATCAACTCGTAAAAAAAATAACTAACCCTTACAAACCAAACTATAGAAAACCAAATAATATCGATTTGTTGAGTAAGATCACAATGGAATTACAGTTCATTAAAGATGCTTAAATAATAATAAAGCTACAGCAGCGAATAGAATATTAACTAAAATTAGGAAAATTCCACAAAACTTCAGGACCATTCAAACCTAGATGGCCAAGGTAATGATAATATCTGAACCAAGCAACTTCCTTCGGACGCACAAATTAGGATTCTTAATATGGATCCAAACGGTCACCCGCAGCAATATTTAGTAATCCAACTGTTAAGGCGAAATTGAGATTTGTTGGTATGTGGTAAATGATTCTGAGAGCATGGTTAACATCAATCCTCTGTTCTATATACACAAAATTAAAAAGAATACCAGAGGTAAGAGATTTCGTTTGCCCCTCACCAAACCACACACGGTGATATTCGGAAATTCAACGAGGAACACGCCTAATTGTATAAAACAAGATTATGGAAGGGTTGCAGAAAAATCCTCGATGACTTCTAATTTTACTGACGCATTAGGCCGCCCAGCACACAGACGACTGACTGTCCACTAGGATCCAATTGAAGTGAGTTCTGTGTCCCAGATTTTCACGAGAACTAGGCATACAATCTGATGATTCTGGTGACTTGAACTTCGCATATTCGCCATATTGGTTAGACGGGGTTGAGTGAATAATCTGACGCCGACCGATAGCTGTTGTTACCTTTACGTGTCTGAATGATTGAAAGCGCTGGCTGGCTAGCTAGCTAGATTGGGTGGAGCGAATGTTCCTGCGTGTCCGAGTATGCCAGAAAATTGGTTTGCATAGCGGTTAGACTGGAATCAGTTAGCACCATACTATACTGTGAGTCGCATACACCAACCATGTTGTGGGGTGTGTGTGATGGCGAATTCGTGGTGCTGACGAATAGGCATGTGACAGTAGTAAAGTAGTAAAGTCTTCGCCTCGGACGATCAGCATTCAAGGTCGAAATCCGACCCTCTCTCACATCCATCGATACTTCTATGATAAGTTGAATAAGAACAAGTGGATTGGGCACACTCGATAGATGCTGTTGACTATCGTCGCTTGAGACAATGAATGACTTTCGGTAAGCTGCTTGCTACACGACTCAGTGATGATTAATTAGCATGTCATCCTTTCTAGTCACTCACTCATTTCGCTGTCAGACATCCACATCAAACGTGTCGATCGACGACGGACAAGGGAGATCCGTATTTCAGTTGAAAATATATCACCTGCCTGCTGTCAGTATGGTTTCACTGCACACAAACCTGTAGAACTGCTCAGACATTATAAATCCGGACAGCTTCGATGCTGAAAGCTGACTGGCTGATGCTGGCTAACTCGAATTTCTCCTCCCCGTACTCCAGTCAGCCTGCCTTTCTGTCTGTCGAGGTCCCTAGTTCATCCAGTCGACAATTCATCACCACCATCTCCCAAAATCTCTAGAGTCAAACGATCACACCATGTGCTATTGCTTCGTTTCGTTTGACAGCTTTGTCAACAAGCTGAGCTAGAGTTGACGGGCTGAGTTGAGTCAGGTTTGACGATGACTGATGGTGGGTGGGTGAGTTGGACTGGTCGTCGAGCTTCTCTGCCTAACTTTCTAACCATTTGACCAGAGAAAATATGAAGCTTTCATCCCTCTCGGAAATCGTCTTACTGCCTACAGCTTTCCCGGAGCTAGCTTCCTCAATAAATAAATACTTGGTGAGAATAAAGCCTGTTGACGATGCATCCCATCTCCTCCTGCATCACTTCTCACCGGTTTTAGCCATCCCCTGTTCGTAGACTTCTAGTCAGTTCACGGTTGAGCAGCTTTCTTTCGTCTCTGCTTATCTTCGACTATTATCATCGATTTGATTAGCCTCCTTGTAATCCCCATGTCATACGAGGGAGGATACGGGAATTCACTGGTTTTAATAATGCTTGGCTGTCGGTCGGTTATTCAACTGTCTGTGTCTGTCTTCAGGACTACTCTCTCACCAGACAATATGTGTGTCACAAGCCTCCCTGACTCAGGATGAATATGACTGGTGTCATACCCATCATATATGTGTGTGTTCACTTATCTCCGGCTGACTGGTGATTTCACCGAGATGACGACATGTATGCACATTTCACAGGAAACCCAGCTGTCAATACGTGTATAATAGAAGATTGTGGAGGGGTTGGAGAACAATCCTCGATGACTTCTAATTTTACTGACGCATTAGGCCGCCCAGCACACAGACGACTGACTGTCCACTAGGATCCAATTGAAGTGAGTTCTGTGTCCCAGATTTTCACGAGAACTAGGCATACAATCTGATGATTCTGGTGACTTGAACTTCGCATATTCGCCATATTGGTTAGACGGGGTTGAGTGAATAATCTGACGCCGACCGATAGCTGTTGTTACCTTTACGTGTCTGAATGATTGAAAGCGCTGGCTGGCTAGCTAGCTAGATTGGGTGGAGCGAATGTTCCTGCGTGTCCGAGTATGCCAGAAAATTGGTTTGCATAGCGGTTAGACTGGAATCAGTTAGCACCATACTATACTGTGAGTCGCATACACCAACCATGTTGTGGGGTGTGTGTGATGGCGAATTCGTGGTGCTGACGAATAGGCATGTGACAGTAGTAAAGTAGT